TGCTTGAAAATCATAGACTTCAGTTAAAAGACACAAAAAAAACAAAAAAAAGACAAAAAAAAGGACCACAAAGAGATAATTGTGCACACAACTGTGGAAGCCTATCAAAGTAAACCATTAGGTCTGTCGCTAATTAGCCCTAGTTCGCCTTCAGTGAGTGATACTGAAACAAGCTTTGAGGCATTTCAACCAGTTTTGGTGAAGGCAGCTGTTTGAGGCTTCAATGTGTGTGAATAAATGGACTGAAGAAGTAAAACTACTTTGTATTTCATAACGATTACGACGAACATAATTATCTTACGACTCCTCAGATCCATCTAGTGACCCCTTGAGATGTCCAGACCCCCAGATTAGGACCTGCTGTAATAAACCATTGTAAAGGGTTAAGTATGTGTTCACACACTGTTATGGACTTACTAAAGTGTGTCATCATCAAACTAAATCAGGTTCTGTCTCAGGAGGTCATTTGAGGGTCTATGAGCCCCCCCCCCTGCAATGTGAAATTAAATCATTGGTTGGTCTTTTTTAGTCACTTATAACTCACACTCCTTGATTAGTATATTCAAGACCTCAGGCCTTAGGCAAATGATTACTCTCTAAGTCTGCAATTATTCTCATTAGGCAAGGGAAGCATTGAAAGGCTGAGAGTGAACTGGATGTGCGTCATACATAATTTCGAAAGACACCCACTGTTTTCAATCACCAGTCACACACTGGCAGCGATTTGTGGTGCTTCAAATGAGCTGTTGATTCTGAAAATGGTTTCATTTTCTCATTACGTCAAGAAGCAGCCAGATCTGAGCAGCCCTCCTCCCAAACTAAACAGACCTGGTCACAGATCAAATTAGGGGAAAAAAATAGATTGTATTTACTGTACCACTTTAGGAAGAAACACATTTGAATAGTAAAAGGGGCACACCCTCTGCAGGGCTTTGCAGATTGGAGTGATACAGAACAAAGAAAAACACCACATTCATTCAGTGTAGAGAAATACAGACACTGTCTGCTGTTTATTATCAAGAGGGCAGAACAAGAGTGGGTTACCATCACCTTGAGAGGTGAAACTCAGCTCAGTCTTACCAATGAATATGTGACAGATTTATCAAATGGGATTTAAACACATATATAAGAATTCTGGCACCTCCTTCGATGGATGGATGGATGGATGCTTTTTGTCTCTACACATCCCTCTCTTAATCATTTTGATAGAGGTTGATTTTTTTGTTTCATCAGTCCACACTTTGTTCTCTACCAGTTTCTCTTTTTGTATTTCTTTGTGAACTGAAAACCTGGTCTTTCTGTGTTTGAGGCTCACTGGAGGGTTTGCCTCTTATGGTGAATCCCCTGAGGTTCTGGTACTCTCTTGATTGCTGATAAGGAAACATCTCCGCCCACATCACGGAGAGCGTTGTTGACTTGCTGTGTGGTCATAAAGGGGCTTTTCTTCACCAGACATGATTTTCTGGTCATCCACAACACTGTCTGTCTGATTGTTTTTTCTTTTTCTTGCATTTTCTAGTTTTCATCTCCTTTTTTAGAAAGTATCCAACTATTGATTTTAGCAAACCAAATACCTTTGATACCTCTGTGATAGATTAGATAGATTATGTTCTTCATTTGCATGGTTGCTTCCTTACTCTTCATACAGACAGACAACTCCACCTCCTTTATGCAGATATATTCAGACGTCTGATCAGGGCTGTGTAGGGACCACACCACATGTTGCAGGATATTCCTTTATGACTCTGGCTGTGTGTTTGTGGTCATTGTCGTACTGGAGAATTAAACTGGGACCAATCAGACACCTCCCTGATGGTACTGTGTGATGGATAAGAACCTAAACATCTAAAATACCTAAAACTTTTGCACATTTAAGTACTTGACTGCAGTCTTGTGCTGATGACAGGAAGAGACCAGTGCCATACAGGAATGTTGACGCAGCCTGCTGATGGTGACAGATCAGATGACCACGTGCACAGGGCAGTCAAGGGCAGTATGATGTGTTTTCTGTGGTTTTGTTGTGCTATGACTGGTTTGCACCTTTTGAGCGGCCCTGTTTAATAATGTAGTTGATGGTTACAGTTTCCAGTTCATCACAGTGCATGTCAAGTCATTTGAAACGTTTCCCTTTGAAACCATGAAACAAAATTTTGGGAGACTCTTGGTTCTATAAATCAACACGCTCCTTTCTGAGATGGGAGGTTATGAAAGGTTTCAATGCAGGAGGGGATCATTGAACTGAACAGGGTAAACCAATGGACGCTCAGTTACACAGAGAAAAGGCATCTTAATTGGATGGAAGAGATAACTCAACAAACCATGATGGTATTATTTGCTGGATGTATGATGATGTAAATACAGATGCAAAGATTTCTTTGTATGTTAGAACATGGATCAGTGTGGTATGAAAAAACGAAACACCAAACAGTGCAGCCTTACACATTTTCTTTTCAAGTCTTGTCACTCTCCACATCTTTTTTTTTTCCAAATAGAAATCATTAAGCCAAATCAAATTACATATTTCACATTTTTATGCATTAGAATGTGCGTCTTTCATGTGAGAATATTTGAAGTGTTTTGCCCTTTAATGTGATTTCACATGGCACTTTAAACTCCACTGGACTCAATAATCCCATGATTAACTGAACATAAAGCGCAGTGTGTTTAAGTTGAGAGCTGTCCTGTCAGAGTGCACACACACACATACACACCATCACACACAGTATACTGTCTGCGACCTTGCAGCGTGTGTCGTTTCTGCCGCCCTCTGGTGAACTGAAACATTACATGTTACTAACAGGCCAGATGAGTACACCAATCAAACAACAAGTGTTTTGGATTTCTTTCTGTAAAAAGGTTATTTTTGAACACTTTAATGTTCTATCATACAGCATTTACTTTGTTTAATAATCTTCAAACAACTCATCAACTCCTTCTCCGCTCATTGAAAAATCCAGAATCTATGAATATGTAAAGATTTACTTTCCACTCTCAGTGTAGCTGCACAGGAGGGTCCATGTTTCCACGTCACACTTTTGTTAGTTTAATATTGGACTGTGACTGACTACAGATTAGCTCCGTTAGGCAGATGCATGTAAAAACAGCCTTCAGTGCAGTCTAAACATCAGAGCGAAGTAACAACAAACAAAGCACGTTTTGAGCGTAGAGGGAAATATAATTAAAAGGTCTGACCCAAAATTGTGTGTCATTTTCTGTGTTTTAAGGCACACGCTCATACACTACTACTCAAAAAGGTCAAACCCCCCATTTTTCCAGTTTATAAAGGGGTTTAAGCAGTTCATGTCCAGTAAATAATCTTAAATGGAGCAGAAGGATACTGCCCAGTGCAAAAAAAAAAAGTTCAGGTCACAAACACAGAAGAACTATGTAAATCAGGGATCAAGTATTAGGATTAACAACTTACAGCTTTTCTGCATCAATGGAACTAAATGAAGCCTGAGAAAGTTAATGCAAACACTTCCTGTTTCCCCAACTCATGTCGATCACTCAGAAATCCTCTGTCTGGTACTACACTGTCTAAAGCATTATTTGCAGTACTGCTGTTTATTGCCACCATGGTGAGAAAAGGAGAACTAACAAAGATAGAGACTAGTTGATCAGAGGTTCATCAAGATAATGACCTAAAATATATAGTGGCTTCAGAGGGTATTCAAACCCCTTCACTTTTGGCACATTTCACTGTGTTGTAGATTTAATTTTTAAGAGGTAAAATTTCCATTTTTACCCATCAATCTACACTGCATCCTGTTTGATCTAATTATCCTTGAAGCTGTAATTGCTGCCTAAAGTGACTTCTACAAATTACAGAATAATTGTAAATTGTGAATGAGATTGTGTTTTTCATTTTCAAAACATTTGGCAGTTTTGTGTCATTAAAATTAAATATACGACACAATAAAGTGTGCAAAAAATGAAGAGGTTTGTTTGCTTTAATTATCCTTGAAGCTGTAATTGCTGCCAAAGGGACTTCTACAAAGTACTGCATAGTTGTAAATTTTAAATGAAAGCTTCGATCTTTAATCTTTTTAATGCATTTTGCGGTTTAATCCATTTAAAGTGAAATAAACAACACCATAAAGTGTGCAAGAAAATAAGGGGTCTGAAAACTTTCTGAAGCCACTGTGCCTCTAGGCTGTCAGAACTAGAAGAAAACGACTAGGAGGACAGGAGGCAGCAAATGATGGAAGAGCAGCGAGGTCTCCAACTTAAACCCCAATGACATTCCCTTTACCAAAAGAACAAACAAAAAAACCCTCCAATTTTTTCTATGCTTTAATTTCAGAGTGCAGTGAAACGAAAACTATGTACATTTCAATGAAACTGGAAAAATAGGTAGATTTTTTATTTAAAAATGCATATGGATCTGCATTTACTGCCAGTTCCATATGCAAGTGTGCTACAGATTCTTGTAACTTGAAACTGTCCTCGTCTTTAGCGTCCTTGGTTTGAGTTTTTCAGCCACAAGATGGAGGCATTCATCCACCTGCCCATACTGAGCTGCGGAAAAGCAACACTAATAGATTTCCAGCAAATCCAGAGATTTTTTCCAGGTAAAGTATTGTAAATATTTAATTGTCTTAATCCTAATCAAAGGTCTATTTCCATTCCTGTCAACCACATCTCACAGTCTTCCTCAGAAAATTGATATTGGTCATTTGTCATGCAGATGGTTCAGTTGGTATCACATTAATCAAGCATGGAACTTTGGTGATGTCACAACACGGTTTGATATATGTGTGGGACATTGTACGACCCCAAATACAAACATGGGATCAAAACCAATCACAGCATTGATTGGGAAGTCATTGATCAGGAGTCAGTGGATGGTGGGAGAGAGATCACATTTAAACGCAGAAGATAAATAGATGGAAGATAAACAGAATGAACAAACAGTTAATTTAAAAAGCATTTTTAATGATTAATATTATTTAAAAAATCATATTAATAAAATTACATGAATCAACACTGGTCAGATAAACTATTAAAGGATAAACCAGACCTGTTTTTATATGTTCCTTAATGCCTGCACATCCAGGAAAAACCTAAACCAAGAGTGTGCTTGCTGTCTGACATCCCTACCCTGTACCTATGGCCCAAGTCCATGTGTTCTCACTGAAGATGTAAACCTTAACAGATTCTAAACATATGTTTTTTTTTCTTTTTAAACAAATTAAATAATTTCCTATATCAGCTCGGCTCTCTAATTTTTAACAAATTCTACTCAAACAGGAGTGACTAGTGCATTTGCTGAGGACTATTTTCAGCTGCAGATTCATACACATTTGGCGCACCAGTGAGTCTTTACAACAACATTGCAACAACAGTTCTCATGTCAATCATAATGGAGGAGCATATTGGCCAGTGCAACACTGGGATGTGTTTTTGTTGTTTTTTTTGGTATTTTCATTGGATTAGCAGACAATGAGAAAAATATAAAATAAAAATACAGACTCTCACCTGCCTTATCCTTTACATTTGATTTAAGAGCATGATATATTGAAACTACATAGCGCCAACTGCTTATGTGGAACTAAAGATGGGAAAACAGATGGGGAAAAGAAAATAACAACTGTAAAACCATGAAAATAAACGATTTAGACCACAGGTGATCATGTGCTGCCTCTTAGTAAGCAGGTGGTATGGATCTCGTCTTAAACAGGAAATGGGCACAGATCCTGACTCTCATGTGTGGTGATGTAACTTAGGAGGTCAATCGCTGTCACAACACCAAACAGGATCTGCCTCTGGGAGGCTGACCCATCAGCCTCATCTGGAGAGAGACAGACGACTGCAGTTATAATAACATTACTGACAGAAGAAAACCAAAACACAAAAGGATAAAGAAAAGAAAGTTCTCATTACCTGACTATATTTTAGTACTGCTGTTGTTATTTCACTATGAAATTCTGAAAAGGGCTATTTGCATGTTTTCTTGCCAGGAGCGGTTGGTGGTGATTGTTGCTTGACAAGAGCTTTAGTCATTGTTGTTTTTATAGGACAAGAGGTTATAATAAACTCTATGAGCAGCACTATGTCTTCAGGGCAGAGCGCCAGGTAAATAAAGTCACAACAGCTTGGGCTCTGGGAAATTGTGATGTGAATTTTTCAATATTTTCTGACACTTTACAGACCAAACAATCAATTATTAGATTAAAAATAACCTGCACATAAATCCATAATTAAATATGTTAACTGCAGTCCTACTGAGGGGATTACTAAGGATAAATAAAACTGTCTTTAAGTCTCATAAATGCACACTATGGCCATATTAAGGACACACCTGTCCTATTTCCAAGCATTGATGAACATCAATGCTTGAAAATAGCAGTTGAGTTTTATTATATTCACACCCTGGATCAGACCCCTAACTTCATGTCTGCTATAAAATATAGGCAAAAATGCCAAAGAAAATAACTAAATGAATAAAATAATGAAATAAGATAAAATATCTTACACTGGGTGTGATCATGCACCACCAGGGCAATGTTGTCTGTTTCGAGGATACGGGACAACTTGCCCAAGCTGTCCGTCAGGTGCACCTGAAAGCACGAATGTAACGAGATTAGTATATAAACAGTTGTATGTATACATGTCTGCCATCCATGTTGTCATGTTCTTGTGCTTCTACTCACTGACCTGTTTGAAAGTCTTGCAGAACACTTGGCTGACAGCGTCTGAGGGTTTTACCTTCCCAGCTGACACAGAGGACAGTATGGTTTGCATGGTCACCACCCCCAGGATCACACTGAGCGCACACACACGCACGCACGCACGCACGCACACACGCACACACACACGCACACGTCCATATTACATCAGAGGACATTACAATGACTTACATTAATTTCCTTGAGATCTACTCTAACCTTAACCATGAGTATGATTTGCCCAACCCTAATGCTTACCCTAACTTTAACCTAAACCTAACCTTAAAACATGCTTGACCTGAAAACGTAATGATTTACATTATGGGGAAGTCCCCATAGTATGACATATTAACATATTAAGGTCCTCACAACAAGAGAAATACCTGGACCACACACAACAAAATGCTTGTGTTTGGATTCGCTATCAGAAGTAGGGGGTGGTTGGAAATGGTCTAGTCTTCTTTATTTTCTGTATTCTCCACATACATAAAGGCAGTTTAGCTGCCAACAGAATATAAAACATAGCATATATTTAACATAATATTTAATCCAATAATAAAAACACAATTTATATTAACTCTAACCCTTTATTTTCTCGTGGTCCAAAGCTTCAGCTCTTCAGTTTCTGTCTAGTGGATATATTGGATCACGAGGTAAAAATAACATCTGTGGAGCTTTAACCTGATGGAAATGTATTGAGGATAAACCAGACTGAATGTTTAAGTACAGCTCAGTGTTCAGCCTTTTTGTTTACATTTTAGAAAATCTGCATCATGGAAAGTCCTCTGCCGCTTGGGCTACTAGCAGTCCAGTCTCTGTTTAGATACTATTCATATCAGTTTATATCCAAAAAATGTCTTTGTATTCATTCACATAATTTACATAAACATCAATGAAGAGATCTACCCCGACTCAGCGACGACTGGGGCCTGGTCGAATGCTTTCTCCTTCAGGATCTCAATGGTTTTCTGGCAGGACACACATGGTAGGACAGTGATGGGGGCAGACAGGTGTAGACTCTGGACAGTCAGGCTCCACCACCTTAAAGAGACAAATATGTTATTCAACACTCATCTGTGTGTTGGATTAGCTCTCCTTTTATAGAAGTGGTTGATTTTTATTCATTTATTTTACCAGGGTTTGAGGTCCATCGGAGCCTCCAGGCTGAGGAACCCCTTCTCATACATCCACTCATCACGCAGGAATTTGGACCTGGAGGCAAAACGACGAGCAGGGAGTTTGAACGGATAACAACACAGAGCAGAAGTCTGAAACAAATCAGGCATGATAAAGTCAGCTTGCACCTTAAATTGGTCAGATTCAAGATTTTCTTTAAGTTTGTGGATTTAGTTGTAATTCCATCTTCTTCTCACATCAAGACAAAGTGGTGTGTAGTTTTGAGCTGAGTAAGAGGTTTAAAGACTGTGGGATGTCGTGTTTGCCAATGGGTTTAAGATGGTGACAGGAAACTATAGATCCCTGATGTGATTTTAGGTGATATTTTTTGCTTGTCATCCTTCAACTCTCTCTGCCCCCATTTACTGTCACTTCTACACTGTTCTGTCTAATAAGGAACCCCCCCCCCCCTTTACATGTAGTTGCGGATGGAGTCGGCCAGAATGACCACACAGCGCTGTCCCTCCTCAAGCTGCTGAGCAATCTTCACTGCTGCTGCCATGGCTGAACCAGAGCTGCCGCCTGCAGCAAAACATACAAAATATCAAACATATAATTAAGAGGGTGTTACAAACCTCCACGACTGCGCAGTACAATACCAACAAATCCTTATCTAGTTAACTTAGCTGGTCAGGATGAACCTACCACACAGAAGACCCTCCTCTCTGATCAGCTTGTGTGACATGGTGAACGTCTCCATATCGCTTGATTTATACCACATGTCAACAACCTGCATAGATTTGTAAGGGAGGTAGACACGTGATTATCACTCTGTATGCAATCCGTGCTAAATCTTACATGTACAAATGCACATGTGCAGAAATACACTCACACATCTGTCCAAAACTGTGGGGATGAAGTCATATCCAATGCCCTCCACTTCATACATAACCTTTGTTTCATTCTTCTCCTTTGATTCAACCAGAATGGAGCCTTCAGGGTCCACACCGACTATCTGAAAACAGACAAGGCGGCATGCATGAATGAATGAATGAATGAATGAATGAATGAGCAGAAAATATGTCCATGTCTCTTCTGATATATTGGGTTGACAGGAGAAAACTGAATTGAATTGAATTAAAAACCCTTTACCTCATGTCAAATACACTGATAGCCCTAAGACATAAGTAACCTCATCTGTACAACATCGCTCGCTCTCCACACAAACATGTAGTTAAATAAAGATCCATTCAAACAGGTTCTTAAAGACAATAAGGTGCATCTTGCCTTGACGTTGGGACACCTCTCCTTCAACTTCCGAGCAACACCTGTGAGTGTACCACCTGTGCCAGCTCCAGCCACCAACATGTCCAATTTACCTGAAAGGTGAAAGGATTTTCTTGTCAAAGCTAAAAAAAAGATCCACTGTTGAGTAACAACAAACAGTTATTGAGGAGTACCTCAAGGTTACACACAGTGTGTTTTGGTGCGAAACATTGAATATACATATATATATATATATATATATATACAGTATATATATACACAATTTGTTGGCCATTTGAATGAAGCAATGAATCTGAGGGGAAAAAGTTAACTTACAAATGGAGATTTTTATCAGGTCTGCTATTTGTTGCCTTTTTTTTTATTTGCTTCAGTGATTAGATAAGTTATCTTTGCAGTAATGCTACTACTGAAAATATCATCGCATTTAAGCAGCAGAACTGAAAACTCTTTTCTCAGAAAGAAACTTGGCCCACCAGAAAAACATATCATGATTCTGTAGATGAAACGATATTTGGACATTTGCTGAAAGTAAAAAAGGTCTGATGATGTTGGACTCATCCTGAACACAGCCATTCAGTTCCCAGTACTTTCTCTGTATCACCTTTAAGTTTGTTCGCAACTTCTTCACCCATTTTCTAAGCAAAAAAGCATTTAGATTAACAAGGCTACTGTGAGATCACAATTCCACAGTCACCCCGTCAGTCGCACATGTATGGATGCTGCTGCTGGGTGATGACCACAACTGTTTATTAAAGCCAAAAGACTGTCAGTCCTTCAAAACGAAAAATGAAAAAGAAGAGCACAAACCATCGCACTGCTCCAGTATCTCCTCAGCTGTGGTGTCATAGTGAGCCAAGGGGTTGCTGGGATTGCGGTACTGGTCGAGGACGTGGGAGTTGGGGATCTCATTCTTTAGACGCCACGCGGCACCTACGTGAGATTCTGGTGAATCGAAAGCTGCAGATGTAGGTGTGCGCACAATTTCTGCCCCGAGAGCTCGCAACACATCCACCTAGAACACACAATTCGATTAGCTAAGCGCTCAATAATGGATTATTTAAAAAGTCGTGTTCATTTAAAGAGCCGCTTGCCTTTTCCATGCTCATCTTCTCAGGCATGGTGATAATGCAGTGATAGCCTTTCACCGCAGCTGTGAGGGCGAGGCCAATACCTGCGGACAGGCCACATTCTTTCATTATGCAGGTAAGACCATGCTCAGCAAAGATGAAGAGATGAAGTCGTTGTACCTGTGTTTCCAGAGGTGGGCTCGATGATTGTGTCTCCTGGTTTGAGGATCCCGGCTCTCTCGGCATCCTCCAACATCCGCAGGGCGATCCTGTCTTTCACGCTGCCTCCTGCATTGAAGAACTCACACTTGGCCACTAAACACCGGCACACATATAAAAGAACTGAGTCATTGAATGTGTTTAAAATTGATTTAGAGTCTAAAATCTGTTAATGTTCTTTATCCTGAACCACTGAATTCCATTTAACAGCTTCAGTTTCCTGGTGTTGTTCGTGCTGATTCACTTACTGAAAGACTTCCCTAGAACAAATGATAAATCAGAATGTCTGCTGTGAAAAACATCCTGTCCACCCTTGACTGCACTTTGCCCACCAGTGAAAACTGACCAGTGTCAAGCAGATTATGGAAGATGACCAAGCTGAACTAATTTTGGACATTATATTTGGGGAAGGCACTGGGTCGTCCAAAAGTCCAGAACTTCTCATTAACACACACCCTCTGCTTTTCACAGACACACACACAGTCACAGTTCTCAAAGTGCACTAACACCTGCTAATTAATACAAATTTGGGACGGCTACAAGTAACTGTGGAGTGAACTAGAGAGTAATCCCCGTCATGTGAAAGCCAGACAAGTATTGAGTGTAAGATCCTTTGTCTCATTAAGCCATGGGAACAAACTACAATTTCACTTTTATCAGTTTAAGAGAGTATAAAAGGGATTTTATTAGGAGGCTTAAAATGATGCCTCTGATTCCTCTGTTTCATCCTCACTGAACCCAAAAACCTCACTGAGCTGCCAGTTCGAGATGGTGCAGCTGAGGTTCCATGAAGTAGCAAAACCCCTTAATGTTTTCAAGTTTAATTTTAATTGCAGCTGTGCTTTCCTCTGTTGGTCAAAAGAACAACTCGCTCATTTTCACTTTTCCATCAGTCTCCTCAGACAAATCCCCAACGGTCTCACAGTGGGCAACATAAGGCCACGAGCGACATGATACCTTAATGTTCCCTTCTTAACAGGTAAGCAGGAAGCCAACAGGGAGGCAGCGGCATTAACAGCCCCTGATAAAAACAATGAGAGCTGTTCTACTTCCTTGTTTGACTACATGATTTATTCCCTGAAAGAAGGCTGACTTGTACCCAAAGACAACAGGCTATACTGAATAAGACTTCACGCTCTAATCTTCTCTTGCTGAACTAGTTGCATTCAGCCAGCACTTGTTTTTTTCCAGCCCCACTGATCACAGGGAACTTGTCAGCTAACTTTCTCTTTCAGGAACAATAATGTTGTTGTTACAGGCCAGAGGTGTCTGTAATTTCTGAAAGAGAAAAACAAAGTTTTACTCGTGTGTCCTGTTCCTCCTCATCATAACATGTATCTCTCTCACAGCATTACTAGTATTAAACTAAAATCGCATGTACTTTGATATGAGAGAGCTGAAAGCAACAGACAGTTGTTTCTGCGTGCCTGATTATTTTGAATGCTCCAACTTGTCATAACTGTAGTGTGACAAAAAAGCTCTATAGGTCTTACACAAAGAATGTACATAATTGTATGTTGTGCAAAAAAGTGGAGGTTTAATCATTTCTTAAGCATTGTATTTTGTTCTCATTGATATGCAAGCTCATATGGATGTGTGTGTCACATCTTAGCTCTGCAGATATGAACGTTTTTACTCACAAATGTCGCACTTGAGTCCAAACTCCTTTGGGATTTTGTTCAAACGAACCAGCGGTGTGTGTCCAATTTTCCCGAGGATGTTGGGGAGGATGCTGGGAGTCCCGGTGCTGTGATGGACAGAAGAGAAAATACTCCATCAGCTGTCTGTACATACAATACATGGTCACCTTTCCCTAATGACAGTTTGGTGGAAATATGCTCATGCCTAATCTAAACCTGTTACGCGTTGACAACTAATCTTTCCCACAGTGACCATGTTGACACAGGTAACTTGGCAAACACAGGTGAAACAAATTTATATTGGAAAATGACCAGAGAAGTTTTTCATCTCTATTAAAGCTATGGGGCAATGTTTATATGTGTGGGTCCCCATGCTGTTTGTTCTCGTGCACACACTCCCGGACACATGCAGGTGATGTGATACACAGTCCATCCAATGGCTCTTCAGTGTGGGTGTCTTGTAGGAAGCATGAGGAGCCTTTTACTTGTCTGTACCAAGGGGCCTATTGTCTCAGAATCCGTCCATGCTTACACTTTAGTCCTGCTCCCACTTTAGATAATTCAACAAATGGCCACTGATTTTTTTTTATTAGTATGACTCTTACCGTTCTGGGTGACAGTGAGGTGACTCAGAAATTGGCGCACCCAGCCTCCAGGTACACCTGCTAGGCAAATCAGGACGGATCCAGTTCCTCCGATCGGCAGTCACTCCTCTGTTCTCCATCTCACTCTCACTGGTTTTCCCACTTTCATGGTATGATTCATCTGGAACTTTGAGACAGCCCTGTTCTTCATTTGCATATAACCTGTCACCACTGGTGACAGTTGTGGCATCCCCATTCACACCGGAGGACTTTTGACCCCAAGTGGCATCTGGGTCAGCTGCATGTGGGCAAGGCGTGGGAACACCTTCCGAAGATTTACTTCCAGAAACAAAAGGCATGGCTCACCTGCGGGCAGATGGGACAGGTGATCCAGTCACACATGCACATATACAACACCTTCAGACTTAAATGGATAAACTGCACTCTGGTTCTACCTGAATCTGGCTAAATATTTCATTTCTGTTATGCTTTCTTAACAACCCCCATGTTTCCTATATTATTAGCTGTACTTGAGCAAGATTTGTGTCAGGAAGCTAACTAACATTTGCCAAATAGTAACGTTGTTTGAAGAGTTGAGTAATAATGAAGAAATTCTGACATTGAAAGGAGCAAATCTTTGTACTAACACTGTTGGATTTCCGCCACTAGAAGCACAGAGCTTGCCAACCAGTCCTTTTTTTATTACATAACAGATGTGACATTAAATCAACATATCAGTGGCTCTCATACAAACATCCAACACACACATACACATGTCGTAACTGCTTTATGTTTGTCTGTATCTTTGTCCACTATGTCTATTCAATTTATCTTCCACATCATAATTTGTCTTCTACGTCATCTTGTCATCAAAAGAAAATCAGGCACAATAAAAGTTATGCAGTGAATTTTATCAGTTTTGGAGAAAAGTATCACTGGACAGAATTAAAAAGTTGTTTATTGTTCTGAAAAAATAAATCACTATCTGTAAACATGTCAAGAGGCAAGTCTGATGATACTATCTGGTTCAAAAGTGCTGCTAAAAGACATTTAACACCTTGGCTCTTGTTGTTATCCTCAGATTGTGACAGTTGAAAAACAGTGGTCTTAAATATATCAAAGAGTTGCTTCTATCCAAAATTCACCTCTCGTTTACTTTATTTTTTACACCTGTTCATTTTCTACTGTGACATGTCAAAATCTATTCCATGAAAAAGTCCTTTAGGCTGAAAGGATTAATAGATTAACTGATCATCAGAAAATCAACCTGCAACTATTTTGACAATCAACTAACCATTTTTAATAAAGGAAATTGACAAAAATTCACTGGTTGCATTTTCTCAAATGTCAATACTTAAATATTTACTGTTTTTATATGATATATAATGTTTTACACCTTTTGACCAATAATGAAAATTAGTTGCTGACCCACTCCTTTTTCTATATTTCTCTCATACAACACAGGTGGAAAATTTAAATTGCTATAAGAACTGTGGGTCATTATTTCATCCATTAAATAATTTGGCTTTTAAATCAATTTCATTTAACCTTATGTTTCAGACTGGACAAGAGGAAGCAAATACAGATATCTAAACAGCCTATTGATCAGTCTTTAATGATGTGGGTTTAAATTTCAAATGTGACAAAATTTACATAAATCCGGATTTTCTGGTCCCAGGTATTTAAAATAACACTGATTAAATGAAAATGATGCAAAAGTTGCGTCAGTCTTTACGGATATTTGAAGTCCTCTTCAACGTTCTGGTTCAACTTTAAATAAAACTGGCTCCATGTAACTTAAGATCACAGCACTATTATCTTCTGCTTAGTAGTGATGGAGAAAAGATGCTGAATTACTAATAACTAAAAGCGTCACTTAAAGAGTCGTGCACTCACCTGTACTTCAGAGAAGACACCAGCAGCTGCGTGTCACTGAGCCTCCACCAACACACAGCCAGGCCCCGCCCACTTCCCCAGGTTGAACCCACCTGATCACACTCGACGCTGATTGACCGCTATTGTGTCGCAGTTTGTTTTCCCCATTGTGCTTCCCGTTGCGCCCCCTCTCGGTGGTCAGGGTAGGCATAAGGTCGGGTCCAGGTTAAGCTAAGGGGAACACAGTGGAACAGACTTCCACACGACAGCCGTACGGAGTATGAACACTTCTTCCACCACTGCTCATAATGCAACTGGCAATGGCCTTTATCAGACGGTTTTAATTATTATTATAACACATGTATTTGAAGTAGACTTTTACTTTATGGTGCATTATCATGCCGGAAGTAGCTATTAGAAGATGGTAAATTGTGGCCATGAAGTGATGCACATGGTAAGTAACAATACTCAAAACAGACTGTGGCATTCAAACGATGACTGATTGATATTATTCATCTGCTGCCACAGAAGAAATCCAGATTCATCAGACCAGGTTTTTCCAGTCTTCAGCTGTCTGAGCCTGTGCCCTCTGCAGCTTCAGAGAATGTGGTCCTCTGCGGTCGTAGAGCATCCATCTCAAGGTTCAATGTGTTGTGCATTCTGAGATGCTTTTCTGATGATTAATGTCATCATTAACTGAAGCTCCTCCCCAGTTATCTGCATGGTTTTATTCATTGCTCTGCAGCCATGATTGGCTGATTAGATAATTGTATGAAGTAGCAAGTGTACAGATGTTCCTCATGATGTGCACACTGAACATTACAGCCTTTGAATGATTAAATTATTTTTCCAGTCTTGTCTAAGTCTTGTTTCTTTTGATTTAAGGATTGGAAGTTTGAACCCTGTGAGTAGTGTTATGTGTTCTGAGACATATTTAGTGCTTTTCAAACAATGATGAGATCAACAGAAATTAACCTCTTTGCTTCTTACCGTTTTAAGTGATGATGGAGTTTAAGTCCTGGTACAATTTTGTTATCTGTATTTGATGAAGCTATCTGAATGTTCGTTAAAACAGAGACCTCTGTGCAGTGAAATGAGTTGAATAACAAACTGCATGTTAAGTTTAATAATCTCCAGTGTGTACATTTAGTTCTTACTGTATTCAGTCTGACTTAAACAGGAGCAGGCAGCTCAAGCATCAGAAAGCACTGCCATAAGTCTGTGATTTATGCTATGTAATAGTAAAAAAGACTCATAAATCAGTCACATTAAGTAAAAATTTTCAATTTAATGAGGTGAAAGTCATTTTCAGAAATCAAGAAAAAAAAGTTCATCAATGCTGTCACAGCTTCAAAAGCGGGTACCTTTCAGTTAGTCCTAGAATAGATATGGTAGGGTACAAACTTAAAAAAAAAAGACTGGGGATGGATACGGGGACAAGTAGTCATGGCTTGTGGTTCAGAATCGTCCTGAACGCTCTCTGTCTCTGGAGCGGCGTCTCTCGTGGTCACGGCCACCACCTCGACCTCTGTCTCTCGAGCGAGACCGCCTCTCTCTTGATCGAGAACGAGACCTATGACGGCTGTGGAAGTGCAGAGGGATTGATTATGAATGCTATAACACAACAGGACTAAACAGGTAGGTTTGACTAAGTTCCTAAATGTAAAGGTAATTAAGTTTGTACCTCTTCCTCCGACGCCCATAGAGCTCTCTCCTCAGTTCACGTGAGATGGGCTTCAGGTGCATGAAGTTACAGAATCCACCACGAGTGCATTCCCTGTGGAGAGAAGGCAACTTAAAGTAGGACTTCATGACAGAAGATTCACATCTGAGGTGTAACAAACAGAAGTTTCACTCCGCAGCTACAACAGACATACACACATGCACTGACATGGAGACAACTTGAGAACAAAGACATGCTCCATTCTGTAGTCACACTTAAAAGAGATTGAGCCGGGAATCTATAAAGATATGATAATGACAAAGTGTTGGTATGGCACTATATTAGCATATTAGCAACAATTTCAGTAACATTTTAGTAACATTATAATGTTATGATTTTGGAATTAATATAAAAATATTGGCTAATGTTATCACAGTGAAATTATTTCACTAATGGACAACAAGCTTCTGCTCAGCTCAGAATTTGAAGTGAAAACAAAATGTACTTAAAGTGATTTGGACGATTGTTTCGATCTGCTGTTGGTCAGCCCTCGACTGCTATCTAGCTACATCACACAGGGCTGGGGTGCACTTGTTCAGGAGGTTAAGTAACATCCGGTCAAATCTCCCTCTCCCTTCTCTCTCCCCTCATATCCTGTCATTGTTCTACTGTCGCCGTCAAATAAAGGCAAAAATAGTGCAGAAAGTACTGGAACAGAAAATGACGTGTACAGGCAGCTTATGCTACATCGTTATTGACCAACATCATTTATTTAACTTTTCCTAGTTAAGTGAATGTACATACAGTATATAAGCTCTATCCCATCTCGTAGCACTCACCCCATTTCATACTGGCGACAGCAGGCTTCTCTGAAGTCCGTGACAGGAGAGAGCTCAGCATGGATGGGCTGTCCATTAAACCACCGGTTATTTAGGTCTATCACGGCCTTCTCAGCATCCTCTTCATAACGGAACTATAAAAGAGACAAACAATGCAGCTGAAGAGAAACATCACTGGCTCTGGGTCCAAACTAAAAACCATGGTGTTACTGTAATGGTAATGCAGATTTTTTGCTCTGACACTCACCTTCACGTACACATTTCCTACTAGGTGGTCCCCGAGGTTGTCACATACGTTCATTTCCTCCACTTCTCCATATTTTTCTTCCATCTCTGTGAAGACCTCCTGAAATGATGGTAGAGAAAAATGAAATGCAACGTTACGTATTTGAGTGTTGACTTCCTCATAAGAAGTTAAAGTAAATGTACCAGTGACAAAGTGGTGTGGTCATGACAACCTTCACAATGGCATGAATTACCTCAAAAAACTCGTCATAGTGCTCCTGCATCTCCATGTCGCTGATGGCACCTAGTGATTATAGAGAGAACAATAACTATACATGGATAGTAGTTTATATTCCTGAAAACAAGCAAACTTAATGAAAATTTTATATTCTGACCACCACATCATCATCATTATGTCTTGCCAATTTACTGGGCTAAAACATTTCAATAATCTCAGGGTCTTAATGCAGGTCACAGTCCAGTATCATCCTGTTGTACCGATAGTGTAGCATCACCTATTGTGGGCTTTAATATCATCCTGTCTGATATCTCTGTGACTGTCTCATAGTATTCCTGGACACCTTTGCTTTAGAAAAATGTTTTGTTTTTTTAGCATTTAACTTCATGTCAGACCATTTCCCACTGACACAGTACAGTGCTGCTCTGATGACATGCTGACAGCTGTTCTATTAATATTTTCTTACGGTTTCAGGTCCTAAAATACCACTATGCTGACATCGCTAAACCTGTCTGCTTCATTTCCAACGGCAAAATGTGGAGCTCTGCAGTGTGAAATTTTTCCTTTTTTCCCCCTTTTTAAATCTTTTAAAATGAATATGTTCTTGCATAAGGCCCAGTGTCTTAATTGTCAGGATATGACAAGTGACCAATAAGTTTACATTTAATAATGTAATTACTGGTAAATTAAATGTCCGTGCAGTTAGAAATTGTTATGCCAATTTAAAACTCTTCTGCTGTTCCCTTACAGGTAGACAGAGAAAACATTAAAACAAGTTTATGATCAAATGATGAGAAAATTATATTTCTCACAGATCCCTGTCATGGGTTCAAATACTTACAGGTGAGACCATCAGCAGACTGGGCACTGTTTTGAGGGTTCCGGTAAATGTTCAGGAGGGCAATTGTCTGAAACACAAAAATGTAAATTTTCGGATGATTAGTTTTGATTAGGGCTGGGCATCAAACCTTGGAAATTCAAATTACAATAATTAAATGAAAATAACTTGGATTGTAAAGTACACAATTCAGATTTTGAACGCAAGCACAGAACAAGGTACTATAAAAGAGATGTTGAAAATATCCTTTGCTATCTTCTGCTTACTTATTAAAGACTTTCTGTAACAATTCTGTAACTAATTATAATTAAATTCTCTCAAGGAGCAACCTCCTACCCCACTGTGTTTATTAGTGTATAGTGTTAGACCTATTTGAAGGCAAAACAATCTAAAACACAACACTGATATTAATTCTTTATTTGTATACTGTTTGTCCAAGTCATTATAGTATTCATCACCCACAATATGCATGTCAGGCCTTTCCTAAGAAAAAGGTTGAAAAAATATAGAAATTAAATCTTTGGACATTTTGGAACTAAAAGGTATGACCTTACCTGGCTGAATGTTGGCTTGTTGTGTAATCTGGAGCAGCGGTCTCCATGTCGACAGGCACCAATTTTAAAATAAAATGAGCAGTTGACTCTGTGGAAAGAGAAAATGATGAAGATGAGATAAAGTTGGAACTTGAAAACCTGCTAATGTTAGGCCAATTCTTTGGCCAGACAGACGCAACTATCTTCTAACAGTATGAACACAATTTTCCTTAAGAAAAGCTACAACTGAAACAATCGATCAAAGTAAATGTTCCCCTATGGGCTTATCTGCAATGAGTTATGGCCTTAGTACTCCCCGAACCCCAGCAGGCTTACAAACAGCCCCTCTGAAATTTTTCTTATTTTGATATATACACCTAGGTAAATAAGAAACCTAAAATTAAACAAAATCATTTTGTATTTATCACACCCAAAATTCCCCATTAAAAGTAAATGAATACTTTTTTCTTATCATTTTCAAGCTGTACCATTCTGCAAGGAAACAAATAACTAATATTTTGGCAAACTGGGTTTATGCATGTCAATAATGTCAGATCAAAGATTACTCTGATTTGGCAAAACTGACTAAACTGCAGATGTTATTTGGCTTTCAGGAGGTAGTCTAGTCTTACTCCTACTGTAATACACCCTACTGACTGTTACCATGTAAGTGTCCACTTATTGACATATACCCATCAGGATATCTGGTCAGATTTGTCATCTTGTTGACTTATTCTTAGATCATATGGTTCCTGATTTAAATAAAAGGATATTAGCATTAAACAAATGTATTTAGACAAGGTTATTGTAATTGAAAGTACAGTTATTTAAGTTAAAACTATAGGCTGAAAATGGCCTACTCTATAATGGTGATACCTTGAAGTACCCACTGTACAATAAATATGTGAAAAAGTGCCTGCCTGTCCTCAGGTTATCAATAAAATCATGGTTTGGGCATTAATCCATCAACTGATTTCTAGTAACAAGCAAAAATGTGTCCATCACACCAAGTATCGAAAAAACTGCACAGTACCAGATATCTAGTTGTAATTGTGTTTGCTCTTAACCACACTCTTCCTGATTTAACTAAAAAAGAGTTAAGGTTTAGATCTATCTATTGGAACAAAGTATTTGTATGACACTTATTTATGAAGAGGAAACGCGTGCTAGGAGGAACAGACATTGGAATAAATAAGTTTAGAAAGTGGTACGAAGATAACCACGTTGCGTGATGCTTCGTTCAGTTTGTGATATGCCTGGTCTCATTCATTACTTTGCACTTTCTAAAATGATTACAAAAATTCAAAGATTACAAATTAGCGGTTGGGACTAAGACTCGGTTTACGATCATCATAACGCTCTCAGTTTGCTCGGCTGGTGCCTCTCCGTGTGTTTTCCTGTGGAACAAAGACTAGCATCGGTTTTCAGAAAGTAACTAGCTTTAGCTAACCCTAACTGATAGGTAGATAGTAATTACCTATCACTTTTACTCGAGTTTAATCGGTAAAGTGATTCTACTTTAATTCATAAAAAGTAACTCGTTGTAAGCACTGCTCAGCACCCAGATGTTGTAGGAGCTAACGGTGGCGGCGCGGTATTTTACTGACGTTAGCGAGCTAGCATTATTAGCTAAAGCGAGTGTGTCGTTAGCAGCTTTAACTGTAAACACCACATATTGATCTATAAAGTTTTAACGGTCAAAGCGGGCTTTGAAGGAAAAAGGCGAACAAGTGGGTAATAATCAACTAAATCGGCATTAACTACTTACTTATCTTTCTCTGTCCCAAAAATGGACGCCAGGTACTCTGCCATCTTGGCTGGCCTGTGTTCAACCAGCAGCAACAACGACCACACTTGCGCCCAACTCCTTCAGAATAAAAGCGGAACCTCTACAAAAATGTACGGAGAAAATACATTTTTGTAAAAACCCTTCACATATATATTAATATTCAACAGTTTATTAGCCCAATTTTGAAATCTTGTGAAATTCAATAATTAATACACCTGCTGTGAATATTATCTCTGTGAAAGTTATGCATAATATACATTAATGAACATTATATAAAATGTGTAGTACTTGTTGACGTCTCGGTTGGTTTTCAGTCCATATTAATGGTGTTGTAGTGGTTTTCAGTGTGCTTGCATTAAAATACTACTCTTTGCCTCTAAAGTATCCTCCTACTATCATTCAAACTATAGGCTCCCAAAGTAAGACAAATATTGTACAGAGATTAAACTTTGAGAATACATGCCCTCTGTATGTGTTGCATTTGGTTAATACCAGTGATAGTAAAAATAGCTTTTCCTTATGAGAGTGTAGAAATACTCAATTACTCTATTTGCTTATCTAAAGTATATCGTATATCAGTAGGTAGATATATCAATTAGGCAAAGGTACTCATTATGCAGTAGGTCTCTATTTAGAATAATACATATTATGTAACAAAAATATAATATTAAAATAAATTAGATATTACATATATATATCTTACTGCTCTTACTTCATAATTACCGTTTTTATTTTGAAGGCGAACCGGATACATTCGATAATATCGGTCACTTCCGTCTCAACAGTGAATTTCGAAACAAGAGTCTCTTTCATACTGTACATGCAGCTATCATGTATGTATGTGTGATGTATACACGCTCCTCAAGATTACTCACTGTCAGTATACCAACTTTAAATGTCTATTAAAACGTTGGTTAAACCCTGCAGTAAATTAACATAGAGATTTGAACTTGTCCAGTGTAAACTATGTGGGCTACTATTATTCATTGACTGCAAAAGCCTATTTTGCATTTCCTTTAGTCTGTCTGTATTTCCTTATTATGTTAAATTGTAGGTTGTTTGGGGAGCAGTACAGTGCAAGCTGAGTGTGCATTAGCATTTTCCTTTTAAAGGATTATACACTTAATTGGATACAAATGGCGTGTCTTTAACTGCTTACAATATTCTATCTCTTTAGATATCATCTTATTATGATTAAAATTGTGACAAACCCTAGTGACCCCCAGGGAACGATTTTTGACAGACATGAAAATGGGGCATGTAAAAACCAAGTCATACCATTTGTCTAATCATAAAAGCCAAAAACAACTTTGTTTTTTCATGGAGATGCATTTATTTTGTAAACCTGACACATTTGTGCACTTAATCAGAGAAAATTCAATCAAGAGTCAAAAGAGAAATATAACAACAAAACAACATCATCACATGAACAGATACTGGATTGTCCATCAGATAATATTTGATAACAGAACAAATGCAACAGCACAAATCCTCAAATGATTCAGTAAGTTCAGAGAGAATTTTTGGTGATTGACAGGCAGTTTGTTTTGTCATTATTAAGAACATATGTCACTGAACATTTAACAAATTTAACAGTTTGCCAAGCCCATTCCTTACAAGTCTGCAAGAACAAAGTGACTAACCACGATAATCTGCATCCATGCAACCATCACATAGCCTCCCCAACGCATTTAGACACAAAAACCTTGGTACCGATTTAGAACCAATGGACAACTGCCCCAGGGTTCCACACTTAGGCCATGAGAAAGCCCAAGGTTCTCAGTGCCTGTGTGATAGTTACTGAGATGGCAAGGGCCCCAAGCTGGCTCCAGCATCTTTACCTAGTGTTGAGGATTTGTAGAGGGGACCTGTGTCAAAATGCAGTTTTAATGCCTTTAATATATTATGCTTACATGGTGCCTATTTTTAAAGGAAAACTGGCTGGTAAACTTTGTGCAAAATGTATGTGTGTATGTAGGTGGTGGTGGTGGAGGGGACATGTGTGCAGGGAACTCATAGACTGTATGGGGGAAACAGCTCATCATTGCCCCAAGGCCCTCTAGTGGGCTAATCCCGTCCTGTTGTAAATATTTAAAATAGCGTATTCGAAACTGTCTGCCCAGTTATACAGGTCCCACTTATATTTGACTTTAATAGTTTGTAGTAAACCCAAAGAACTTCAAGGACAAAAATCACTTCAGTTCATGAGGTAATGAAGGATAGTGAAAACTGTATGGAGAATGTGGGTAATGAATTTAAATGTGCGACATTTAACTGTGATGTGAAACCATATTGGCTACTTTATTAAAACACCAAGTCAATCTGATGGACACGTATGTGTACAAAGAAAATATAAATCAAATGCACGGTAAATTAAAGACAACTCTGGCAGAAACCTGAAATGTTTTCATCTAGATCTTAGTTTTAGATTTAACTTTAGTCTTGCCGGTTAGTCTCCGCCCTCCTCAGTGTGTGTAGTTCACCAAATAACTTGCATGATACGTCTCGACTGTGAGTCAATTTTGGCTGCTTATCCACCACAGTTGAATATACTCCAACATCTTTGAAGGCCTGAACTTTGAAAGGTATGGATACTTTCGGAGGAAGACGTTTGATCTAAAGAAAGTGTTCTAAATTGTGGTCATGTACGGGTCTTGTTTGTCGTGCTTGGACTCTTCCCGCTGTTTTGTAGCTCTCTAGCTAACTAGCTGTTGTTGATTTTTAGTTAGCTTCGTGGGAAGAGGCCGCCTACCTTCAAGCCAGACAGAAAGCTAAGCTACAGTGACTGCCTTACACGACTGCTTCTGATGCTTTCTCGTTTTCTGGAAATCAGAAATAACCTTACAAAGTTAGTTACACCACTTTAGTGTTAGCCGAGTTGCTAATTGTAAAGGTGCCGCGGCACTGATCATCGTCCAGCCACAAACACACAGTGCGTACACATCCAGAGACGATGAGATCTGCCTTTTAGTTCATACTTCTCTGTTTAGTCGCAGTTTTTGTCTAGCCGAGCGTTGTTTCAGTGTATTGTCGATATCGCAGTCGGTCTGTGTGTAAGTTTTCCTCTAAAACTTGGGTTGTATTTATCGCCGCTGCTCTCGGAAGTCTTACGGCACTGTAAACCTTAGCCAGGATTTCCGGCTCCTTTCCATTTGCCCTATGCTGTTTTGTTTCCGTTTATTCTATTTCCGTTTTAAAAGTTTTCTACGTGCTGAGTTAAAGTGTGCTTTTATAAACATCTATTTAGGTTATGGGGAGCAACGCGGTTTTAGGATATTTTAACAGCTGTTTAGCACGCTGGGACCGACGGTTGTGTATCGGGCTGCCTCGCCCCCGTGGTGCATTCGCTTGCAAAATCGTAGCTAACTTGGTTCACTGTGGACCAGCTTCGGCGCAGCGACACGTGTAGCCTGGTGTATAAATCTTAGTTTTGTGCGTTTTCCCAACATGTGTGTGTGATATGTAGTTATGTTTGCTGACTGTTTTTGGTTATTAGTGGCCTACTGGTTGGCCTTTTGACGCCAAAGCCTCGCCCTCGAGTTGGCTAACGTTAGCAGTCGAAACAGTCAGTGAACTGTCCCACACGGCCAATGAGGAGTCGAGGCTGAGAGGCCTTTATACTATTACTATTACCACTTATACTGAACTGGGCTGTTTCATATTTACAGCATGAGCACTTTACTTACTGCCATAAAGTGAAATGCAGAAGCCTAAATTCTATGTATTCTTTTTATTAAATGTCATGAACATCCATTACTGAAACTTTTTGTTGTCTTTTAGTTGTTTTAGTTACTAGATAAAAACACTCTTTTTTTGATAACAGAAAAATTTTGAAGATTTAGGGTATGACAGAAAGTTTGTAAGAATACTGTATTTTTAATTATAAAAAACTCACACATAATAGATAATTATAATCATGTAATATATAAATATACAAACATATATTTGTGAGGTAGGACATGAAGAACATCCAGTTTTCACAAGTGTAGCCATTATAACAAGAATCACAACATACTTTTAGCCAAAGTCAAATAAATGAACAAAAGGAAAACTACATATAAACAGACAAGACAAAGAAGAGCATCCCCTACTCTCCCCTCAAACCCCCTTTGATTTATCACAGAGGTGAAACATCAGAAAATAATTTATGAAGTTTGTGTTTATTAACTGTTTTTATGTATATAAAGAAGTTTACCTTGTGAGCTAAAAAACTACAAGAAAAAAATAAAATTTAGAAAAGATTAACAAGAATGAATCAGTACTCTAACTGATATGATGAATAAATGTCTATAAAAAAAAAAATGTTTTGAAACTATGAGTGACCCTACCTATGCATTTGTTGAATAGAAACTTAAGTCTTTTTAATTTGAAGATTAATTCAGGGTGTCTTAGAAATACCACTTAACTTTAAAGCTGTACAGTTAGTTGACTGATCAATTAGTCCAATACAATTTTGATTCAATCAATTAATAATTTTTTGTCAATTATCAAGAAAAATGCCAAACAATCTCTGACTCAAGCTTGTCGCATATGGAGAGTTGCTGCTTTCCTTTGAGGATTGTTGTTTTGAAGCCAATGCTTATGGTGCTATTTAACAAAAATATCCAAACATTAACATTGTAATTGTTTCTCTCTTTTATATTTTGGTCTTGATAAGTAATTTCACTGGATTGCAGTTAACCATCTCTTTAATTACCGTCCTACAGCTTGGCTCTCTGCATAAAACAGAATGTCTAAAAGTGAACCAGAAGAGATGATAGAGATCGAGATCGATGAACGGGAGAAACAGGCGTGCCTGGAGGAGGGGTAAGTAAGATGGTAATTTGAAGTGCATACTCATAACACTAACTGCACATTTACAATTCTGTCCCCTCTGTTTTTTTTCCCCTACAGTGTTGAGGAGCAGACGATCACTGCATCCGATTTGATTCAGCAAGACATCGACATCAATGAGCCCATTGGCAATTTGAAGAAGCTTTTGGAGCCCCGTATCCAAATATCACTGGATGCTTATGAGATCTGCTTGCAGGACATTCAGGTAACAACGTGCATAACAGAGCCCATTGAGATCTCTTTGTGATTTTATAGTTTTGTTATTGTTACCTGAAAAAAACAGGGTGTGTACTGCTGGTCTTATAGTCCTTCCTTCAACTGCTAAGTATCCTGAGTTGTCTCTCTCTTGACTTCTGATATCTGTTGTGTTCTTCTTTTTAGCTTCACCCTGACCACAGCCTCTTCGATCAGGGAGTAAAGACAGATGGCACAGTGCAGCTCAGCCTGCAGATTATAGCCAAACCAGGTACTGAGCTAACAGAAACCATGACACAATCCATTCAGAGCTTTTCTCAGTGGAATGATGTCTTGCTGTTCGTGTCCAAATCTTAATCATTTGTGTTTTTACCCTTACCCAGGTGAGGAGAAGCTGAACATCTTGGAAATAGTGAAGCCGGTAGAAACAGTAGAAGTGGTGATTGATCCAGATGCAGCAGGAGAGGAGGGTGCTCTGGTGGAGGAGGGTCAGCTGATTGCTGTGGAGAGGTCTGGCCTCTCTGATGAGACGTCAGAACAGGTTACACGCTGGGCTGCAGCACTTGAAGGCTACCGCAAAGAGCAGGTCCGGCTGGGAATTCCATATGGTGAGGAGCCCAAAAATGAAACATCTTACTATGGTGGAAAACAATCCTTAACATGCTGAAAAATAAATGTGGTTGTTCATACACGAGGATTCTCTCTCTCCCCTCAGACCCCGTGCTGTGGTCGGCTGACCAGGTGATCCACTGGGCTGTGTGGGTGATGAAGGAGTTTAACATTGACGAGATGGAAATAGGCAGCATTCACATCCCAGGTCGAGAGCTCTGCGCTTTCAGCCAAGACGAGTTCCTTCAGAAAGTGCCCAATGGCGAGATACTCTGGAGTCACCTGGAACTCTTACGCAAATGTAAGGAGTTGTAGGTTTTATGACAGTTTGTTTTTTACCAATTTGTACAGAAAGAGTCTAGTTTGAGCTTTATACAAAATTCAACTTATCCCTTGTATATATTTCAGATGTGTTGGCCAGCCAGGACCAGTCTGGAGGGGACGCCACAGTCACTATTGATCAACGTAAGTGTTCTAGTGAAATATCCTTATATATATATCTTCTTGCACATCTACTTACAACACAGTCAAATAAGTATTTATTTCATTAGTCAGACTCAAAACTAACTGACTAACTGATTTTGATCATCGATAAATCATTTATTTTTTTTATCAGTAATTTTTCAAGAAAATATTTCAAACCTTATCTAGTTGCAGTTTCTCAAAAAAATTTTTTGTCACATATGATGCGTAACTGAATATTTTTGGGGTTTTGAATTGTTGATGAGAGCAATTTAAAGAACTCACCTTGGGCTCTTGAAAATTGTGATGAAAATTTTTGATTGTTGTATGACATGTCATACTAAAGAATTGTGAAAACAATTGGCAGTTTAATCAATAATGAAAATAATATTTAGATGCAGCACTTCTCAAAACATCCACTGTAACTTTTCCGTGTCTGTCTCCAGCTGTGCAGATAATCCCAGCTCAGGTGAGCACACCTACCGCCATAAAGGTACTGAAGCAGAGTCGTGGCCCCAGAACTCCACGTATTTCAGGAGGAGAGGAGCGCAGCTCACCTGGCAACCGCACAGGTAGAACACACTGCTGACAAGGACTTTTTATGTCCTTTGTATGTAAGCATGTGTAGCATGTCATTTTTATGACTATTTTAAAACAAATTTGACCGTAAATGCCCTGGTGTTTCTCTGGTGCCAGGTAACAACGGTCAGATCCAACTGTGGCAGTTCCTACTAGAGCTGTTGACAGACAAGGATGCAAGAGACTGCATCTCCTGGGTGGGTGAAGAAGGAGAGTTCAAACTCAACCAGCCTGAACTTGTGGCTCAGAAATGGGGCCAGCGCAAGAACAAGCCTACTATGAATTATGAGAAACTCAGCAGAGCCCTCAGGTTTGCCTCCTGTTTATTTTTTAAAGGGGTATTGTGGCTTAGTATTGCCCTTCAATAATGTTGGTGGACTTGTGAGAGACAAGGTTAATGGCCAAAATCAAAGCAGCAGAGGCCAACATGTCCCGACTTTTACTCCCTATAAGTCAAGCTCCAAAAACAATGAATCCTACATTTTGTCTTTCAACATACCTGCTTGGTAAACACCCACAGCTTTCAAACTCCAGTTGCAAACACAGGCTGGTGAAGCCCCTGAGAATAGAGGACATTGTACAACTGTGACAGGCTGGGTACTACACAAGATCAGGAGTTAACTGATGTTCATGTGTAAAAATTATTGGAATGTTCCTTAAATCTATGTGTGGATGTCAGGATGGCTTGTTGAAATGCGTGTATTAGCTCAGTAGTATTGGAAACATTACCTGACATGTTTAATATTCTCTGGTGGTGATGTTTGACTTTATCTGGGCTTTGCACAGAGTCTCACTTTCATCTTCTCCTGTAGATATTACTACGACGGGGACATGATCAGCAAGGTGCAGGGCAAGCGCTTTGTCTACAAGTTTGTGTGCGACCTGAGGACTCTGATTGGCTACAGCGCTGCTGAGCTGAACAACCTGGTGACTGAGTGTGAGCAGAAGAAACTGGCTCGCATGCAGATGCACGGCATTGGTCAGCCCATCACTACAGTGACCTTGGCCACGACACTAGACAAGGACAGTTGAAGGAGGCCGCATTACAGCGCTCTCCAGCTGCCACAGGCAAAGTTAACTCTCCACCGCTGACTGGAAATCAAATCAACTTTTTTTCTTTTTTTGACACAGCTGTGTTCATCAAGCACAGAAATGCAAGGCTGATGCCCGATCAGTGTGGATTAACAACTTTGTCAATGTCTTTTAGTCCAGTTAGACTGAGGCAGGTAAAACATTTTTTTTCTTAGCTTTTCTTTAACTCTAACCAGGAGAAGTGTGTTGAGGATGAGGTGGGGAATGTTTGAGTGATTACTGAGTGATGCTGTTGTGCATGTGACTGAATGCTTGAACGTGTGACTGAAAACCGAGTTATGAGCTTTGTGTAATGTATTCCTTGTCTGTAGTTTAGGATTGTTTCCATTGTATATACCGGTACTTCATGTTTTTGATAGCCACAAGGGCAAGTGTATTTTCATATTTTCCATTTATAGAGCACCTGTTTTGTATTTTATTTAGTGTTTGTTCCCTAAATTGTTGGACCCTTTTTTGTCCACTAGAGGGAATAAAGTGGCAAGCATTTTTCTTAATGTCTGGATCTCAGTCATTTCATCTTTTGAGCTATTAAAAAAAAAAAAAAATATATATATATATATATATATATTTAAATCATAGTAAGAGACTCATGACAGCCAACCAGAAAGTAATATGTACATTCAAAATTTTATTCATGGTATAGTGAGTGTAGAAAGCTTTTTCTTACTCTAAGCAAATGGTTCATTTAACTACACACAGAGGAAGGTCACTGAATCAATGAGAGAAAAAAAGCATCTTTTTTTGTCACTAGCCTTCAAAGACACCCAGAGTGAGCATCAATACAAATTTTAAACATTCACCTGATTAAGAGCTTTAGTTAGTGTTTCTGTACATGTGTGGATATATAATGTGTAGAGGTGATATGTGTCGTATTTCTGTGGTATAAATGCACAATATGCAGGTCACATTCATGTTTACTGGAGGTGGCGTGAATAACTTAATTAAGGAAGAGGAAAATGTGTCTCCATGCTGATGTGAAATGTGGTCGTCCTCCCATTGTTAATGGTGTTTCTTCACCTCTTTGTGAGGACAAGTAAGAAACTTGACAACAGATGTGCAGATAAAGAAATATCCACCACAGGACAAATAGAAGCACTGTACATGTATACACAGGAAATGTAGAAAAATAGAATGTGCATGTGTGAATTGGTGAAGGAATGGAGAAGAGAGAGGACCATCTAGAAAACTGATCTTTGCCAACCAAACAAGTCCCGTTTGTATATCAACTACTCACACACTGAATCCAAAGTGCTGCACTGTACAATATTGCTAACACAGCCAGAAAGAGAGTATAAACATGAGAAATGGGGGTTAGAAAAGAAAGACTGAAGAACACAAACAAGGGGAAAAGACAGAGAGGTGGAGCTTGATAATGAAACTGGGCCTTTGAGAGCTGGATCTCCATCTTCCAAGTATTTGCAATCTAGAGAGACAGTGGAATGATAAATCTGGAATGATAGACTTTCAGAAATTCTAATAAAAACTCAATGTGCAGCAACAGTGAATTGGCATCAGGGACTTAACAGCAATAATATTTGGTGATAATAATCAGACTTCCAAAATGACAGAGTGCATAGAACGCAAACAGTAACACGATCGTCTTCCTTTCGGATACTATTACACTTCATATATTACATACAGTATAGAGCATTTTGCCCATGCAGCTAACACAACAGTGAAGCATGGAGATGAGCATAAAGAGCCAGGATTCAGTTAAAGCAAGTCTGAGTGACATCAAAGCAGACCAGATTCTGAATACTCTTTTTCTTCTTCATATCACAAGATCACAAAGAAGACACTACAAATGTACAATCCCGCTAACATATCTAGTAAGAGGACCGCTCCTGAGGACCTCAACATACAGTTAACTGTATCTGTCATCAATATTGCCATGCACTACATAAACTTACAGCTAACCTCTGTCTTAATATATTACACATAAAAAATCAGAAAACAAAACATTCAATGTTTTTCAACTTTTACATATTTTGATTATGTATATTTTTCTGTATTTTTTCTATCCTTTTTTGAAAAACAAACCTGAAACACTTGGGCTTTAATCGTATGGAGAGGCGCTCTGAGAGCCCCTCCTCCCATTGCCAGCTCTAAGAGCTGTTATGTCATCAAACACAGCACAGCTGTCATCCTAGAGCAGGGGAGCAGGGATGTGTGGGACAGTTTGAGGAAAATGGAGTGATGAAGGAGCGACCGGGAATTAAACTGCTGGGGGATTACTTCTTTCTGGTCTCAGCTGCGAGCGCAGTACTGCAGTGACTTCATATAAATAGTCAACAGGGTGGAGGATTTTCAGTACAAACACTATGAAGTTTTTGTTCTGAATTGTGCAGTTGGAACAGGATACCCTTGTCTGACCAAATGCAGGTAAATGTAAGATCAAGCGTTGCTCTGTACAATCAAGGGATCAGGGATTAAGAAGATTTTGTTCCATGTCAGTTTCCTTTGGCCCAAACCCCTCACTGACACACAAACTGGTACAAAGATTTCACTTATCATTTCCTTACTTTCAAACAAGATAAAAATCAGCCTTTGCAGTAATCTTCATACCTTCCCTCCCCCTTCAACATGGTGAGTGGTTGAAGGTGTAGGGGCTGAGGGCAAGGGACCCGAGTGGAACAGACCCTACGAGTGCTGAGAGTGTGGTTGGGATACGCCTGAAGAAAATGTTGATGAGCAGTTTTTTAGTTCTGCATCTGCTCGAAGAATTTGTAGGTGGGATTCTCGTAGCCGTTCTGCTGCATCTTGGCCAGATGACGCTCCTCTGGTGTCACTGCTGCATCCACCTACCAACACAGATAAAACAAAAAGGTCAGTAAAACAAAAACGGTCTTTACTGTAGACAAATGAACACACTGGGAAACACCGCATTCATTCAGCCCTTTTCTTTACCTCAATTACACCGTGATGAATAGAGGTATACTGTTTCTTCCTCAGCATCACCAAGGTAATGACAATGACGGTTGCTATGACAACCCCTCCGACCATAAGCCCAATAATGGCACCTTTATTGGACCCCACATCCTCAGCGAAAAACACCTGCCATTAAAAAAAACAAAAGATGTTTATGTGCACAAAGCACAGACCACAACAGGGGCAGAACAAATAACATGATGAAGTGTGTTGTGTTGTAATCATTATCATACCAGCTTTTGATGGTAAACTTCATAACCGGCATTTTGCCTCTCTTCAGTGTCCATCCGCACTTCTGGCATCTCCTCTGGCTTAAGGGCAGATACTGATAGGAAAGGAGCGTGCACAGACAAAGTATGTTATAAACACAAATGCATAATTACAATCAGTGGTGCAATAGCATGTTTTGTCCTACACACAAGGCTACATTTGTATTTGTATTATCTGCAATTGAACAAGATTAACACTCAATGGCAGAAAGGGATTTCAAACCTAGAGGTGAGTTATATGGGCAAAATTAATACTGCAGTAATTATCACATACTTATCTTCATATTGATGTTACAATATTTACATATCATTCAAACTGACATATTAAATAAGCTGAACTGATGTTCAATTGGTCAAATTGTTTTTTACAGATTTTAGTGGGAAAAATTCTTTCACTTTCCAATATGCTCTAATCATTAAAAGTACCCTGTGGGGTTTTACATGGATGTACATTCAATTTACATGAATGCAAATCAAGTGCTGGATGTCCCAAAACATCCTCGCATCTTGACTATTGCACTTCACTCAGGGTTACGTCAAAAAAACAATCTCACGCCTTCAGCAAGTACAAAATGTAGCTTCAAGGATTCTAACAATTTCAAATATACAAGATCATATTAGCCGTGTTCTGCCCTCCCTTCTTTGGTTACCAGTCAGTCTTAAAATTGATTTGAACATTTGACTGATCACATTTAAATTACTTCATGGTTCATCGCACAGTTATATTGCCTAATCACTGCTCCTCTCTGAGCCAGAGCCTCAGACTGTCAGGCAGGTCTCCTCTGGTCTCTGGCTCTTGTTCCCAATATGCTTTGTCTTTTCTATTTGATTTTCACCTTTTTTATCTTAATTTTATAATATATATATATATATATTTCTGTACTTTTAGTGGTCCGATTCTACTCCATGTTATTGTTCTGAATTCTTTTATCTGGATATATATTATATGTATATTATATTATTTGTTTTTGAAAAGTAAATAAATAAATAATGTTTATTATTATCATTATTATTATTATTATGAAATGGGTCCCTGTTTTATTTGTGCCGTGTGTGGGCATGTGCATGCTATTCCGTGTTTTGGTGGCAATAATGTGCAAAGATGCACCAAGAAAGGCAGTGAAGAAGAAGAGTGCTAGCAACCAAACATGGACGTAAACAATGTATCATTTAAAATTGCCTTTACAAATGTTTTAAGAAGAAGGAGAATGATTTCGACATTAGTTAAACCTAAAAGATTAACACATACAGCATGTAGTTTAGTAAGAAATACTGTAAACATAACCTTTCTTATTTACAAAAATACTCTGCAGGGCAGCTATAAGATCTCATACTGTGACAGATTTGGGTAAATATTTAACTTGTGGTCCCTGTGTGAGAATCATATTATTAAATAATTATATGCAGACAGGATCAAAGGTAATATTGATGAATCACCTAGTCAGACCCAGTCACCTAAACACACTCACCAGGTCGTGTGGGCAGTCCTCTATCTGGAATTGGACGAGCATCAACTGGCTCAACTGCAAACAAAGTTACAATGAAAACAGAAAAGAGGATTAAAAAGTCAAATTGTGTATTATCTCATCAATGACACAGCTTCTCAAATTATATCTCATTACAACTCTAGATTTTGTTAAGATGTATCAAGTTGCTGCTGGCACACATTATCTAAAGAGTGTTTATACTCAGTCATTTATATGGTGAATGTCTCATTCTGTAACATAACAATAAGTCTCTGTGTATTCTAATCAATGGTGTGTGTGTGTGTGTGTGTGTTACCGTGGTTCTCTGTGTTGGGCTGGTTGAAGCTCTCAGGGTGGATGAAGCCAAATCCGTCCAGGCCAGGGTCCATAGGAGCAGAGCTGTAGGCCTGATCCGGCATCAGAGCATCGTTACCGTAACTCACCCTGCCGTCCACCTGCAAACACAGAGGAGCATTCATCTGGAGGTCAGGGAGGCTTTCTTTGAAAATGTCATCCAATCCTAGTGATTATCTGCTAGAAATTGGAGAGTCACACATCACCCATAGTACTTCAACTTGCAACTTGCATGTATTATGGCTAAAACAGTAAAAATGAACTGTTATCTCAGTTTTCTTATCCTTCAGATACAGTATCCCCCTGGGATCTGTTTGATTTTCTCTACTTCAAACTCTGAAAGAACTCATTCTGCCTCTGCCTTTGTGGTATTTCTTACTGTGCTCTTTATGCATTTAATCCACTGTGTCTGCATCTAAGCTTCTCTGTGCAGCACTTTGTTGACTTCTGTCATTCCGAGGAGCAGAGGTGATTCTATTTATACATGTGAGAGAGAGCATGCAGTTTATAGAGGGCCCACTCCATGCATATGTGAGCGGGTGCAGCTCGACTCACCCGCCCATCGCTCTGCAGGGAAGAGACTTGCTGAGACAGCCCCGACTGAACTCGCTGCACTATAACCGCTAAGAAGAAAAAGGAGAAAGTGAGTGAGAAAGAGAGAGAGAGACACTGTGATCATAAATGGGGGGGGGGATAGTGGGAGTGAGATGAATTAAAAAAAAAAATGCATATGAAGTCAAGTGAAGTCCATACAGTGCCCTGATTACTGAAGAAATATTGTAAAGATGCTGCGCTTTCAGCACACCATTCATCACTGGACCTCAGACACGCTGTAAAACTAATTTTCATCCTCACTCAGCATTACAGGACGTTACAGGGTTATTTAATTAGTGCAGTCTGTAAACTCCCACAGCACATTTAAGGTGGTTTAATTAGACTCCCTTTCTTAATAATGAGCAGATTGAGATTGATTTGAGACATCTGCACTAGATTACAACATGTTTACTGCCTGTGAAAGCAGATTTTCAAAGCTGCCTGATCTAAACTTAAATTAACAGTTTGACACTTTGGAAAATATGCTTATTCGCTTTCTTGCTGAGAGGTTGAGAAAAAGATATACCATAAAATAAGATAAACCCACTCTTCCCAGTCAAGAAGTAGTTTGGCACAAACCCCCCCACAAAAACACAACTTGTCATTAAAAAAAAAGCAGTCATTCACACATTAAGAATTAAGTTTGAAGCCACCACTTACCAACTTGGTTCTGGATCTCATTAGCCACACTGGGCACTTTGTAGAGCAGACACAATGACTGATTCATCCTCTCATCTATCACACGTAGGTGGGTCAAAACCTAAAAGTAAGAAGAAGAATGAGTGAATGGTGAATAAGTTCCAGTATAAACAAAAAAAAGGTTAACAATGTTTCTATTCCAAGTCACAAAACATATGTGAAAATCAATCATCGTATTAGAATATATCACTCAATTATAACCGATTTTACAAGCATTTAAAAACTTTTCATTCCAGTAAAGGTTTAGTGCAGCTCCAGGTTTTTACATGTGTGTGAGGTAGAGTACCTGAGGTCGGATCTGTGCAGCCTTCTTGGGATCGACTGTGCGGACATGCTCGTAATGTTTCAGCGTGTGCTGCCTGTCCTTCTCCTCTGCACGGACATACTTCTTCAGCAGACTCAACACCTGACGGGGCTGGTGGTGACAGTGTTGCAGGCGTTAGTGGGGTTATTACATTTAGGGATGCCTTATAAAAACAAATGATGTGCTATTTTCATTTTACATACACTTATTTATATTCACTGCCAGTTACAACAGCAGAGTAGTGTTGAATATTACTGATTAAAAGCTTTTGTGATTTGCCTAAACTCTACCATTAAATGAACTCAGCTAAACTCAGTCAGCTAAGGTTACAAAAACTACAAACCAACACCTTCATTAACGACTTGCGCCTGGCTAACGAAGTGAATTTGTTCTAATGTTGTTTGGAAGACAATGGGAAAGTCCTGACACCATCCCCCGTGAGTCCATCTACCAGCTCCTGCTCAACAGCTTCACCTCCCCCACCATAACAGCAGCCTTGGCGACTCCACAACTACTCACCTCAGAGACCCCCTCCTCCTCTAAAACAGTAACAACTATCTCCATCAGGGTTTTCAAGAAACAGAACCCCCACTCTGTCTCACCATCTCTCCATCCTGAAGCACTGTGCTCATCAGCTGAGTCCCCTATTCACAGACATCTTTAGTACCTCACATGAGACATGCAATGTGCCAGCCTGCTTCCAATCATCCACTGTCATCTCCGTCCCCAAAAACAAGGACCACAGGACGTATTGACTATAGACCCACCACCCTGACCTCGGTGGTCATTTGAGTGACTTGTGCAATCCCACCTCAAAGGCATTACAGATGGCTAGACTGCCTGCAGATAGCCTCAAGAGTTTTAACAGATCTGTAGACGATGCTGCTAACATGGCTCTCTCCTTCAGCACCTGTGCTGCTCAGGAATCTATGCCTTGTTTGTAGACTTCAGTTCTGCCTTCAATACTATAATCCAAGCTCTGCTGCAGGACAAGATCACTGACTTCCTGTCTCTGACTCCCAGATCATCAGCAACAAATCAACCCAAGGCTGCATCCTCTCTCCTCCGCTCTTCTCCCTGTACACCAACAGCTGCACCTCCAGTTATTAGTCTGTAAAGTTCACAAACAACACCGCCCTCATTGGATTCATCTCTGGCGGGGATGAGACTGCATATAGATGGGAGATTGACCATCTGGTCAACTTGTGCAAGTAGAACAACTTGGAACTTAATACTCTAAAGACAGCAGAGATGGTTGTGGACTTCAGGAAGAGCCCAGAATTTCAATCTGCCAAAGACAAAGATGGTGCACTTCTACAAAGCCATCATTGAGTCTATCCTGACCTCCTTCGTCACCATCTGGTACACTGCTGCCACTGCAAAGGACAAGGCCAGACTGCAGCTTATCATTCACTTTACCGAGTAGATGATTGGCTGCAATCTTCTGTCCCTCCTATCTTTCTACTTACTGTGTTTATTGTTCTGCACCAAAACATAAAAGCAAATTCCTCATATGTGAAAACCTACTTGGCAATAAACTCTGATTCTGAACAGCCTGTTATTCTGTTTATTAAAAAGTGCAAATGTGTGTTTGTAGATATGTCTAAGCATGTGTGTGTACCCGTGGAGGGTTGGCCTGGAGGGCACTGAGATAATTTTCGAGAGCCAGGCGTCGGCGGCTGTTGAGCAGAGCCTCCACCCGAGCCATGTGGGTCTCCACCAGCTGCTGCCTCTCTCCTGCTGCCTCCTGCTCCAGAGCCTCCACCTTCTCCTGGAAGTGCTGCATTGCATATATAGTACACAGATGACAGTGACCACAATTACCACTGCTTCTTGCAATCTGATTATGAATACCTTATCACTTAGTACATGTCAAATATATGTTAATCTATATATAAATGTTATCTCTTCCTATATAAAATTATTTTTAATGACTCATCTTGAACCTGGGGGCATATACATGAATGTATCTAATTAAATGTGATAAAATACCCAGTTACCCAGATAAAAACCAGTTGATGGTTAGCGTGTTAGTCATAGTAGCTAGTAGAGCAATAAGTTGGCAATTCAGTTCTGATTTGAAGATATGGTCATGTTTCACTTTCAACTTTCAAATCCTTTCATTAAGAACACATCTGACATTTACAAATGATGGTTTTTAACATGCACAATAACAGCAGAAGTTGTGGTGTGTGTCCTACCTGGATGACGGCCTTCTTGTCAGCACGAGGAAGGTTCTTGGCCTGTCTCTCAGCCTCCTCCCACTCCCTCATGACCTGGACATAAAGCGTGTCATGTCAGGGACAAAAGCAACCATGTCATACTGACAAGTTCAGGCTTTGTAATGTCAGATCAGACATCTGGACACCCACCGGAAGTGTTTTGTATGTAAATGTTAACCCAGACACACTCACACATACCTGGGACATCTTTTCACGGTGTTTAGCCTCCAGGCTTTCCTTGGCCTTCTGAAAATCAGTGTGTTCGTTGTCATCACCAGGAGATTCAAGGTACCGATCCACAGCGTCCGGAGGACTGGGGGCCATGGTAGGTACTGCAAGGTAACAAAGAGCGAGTGGTCAAATGCAGGGCGGGTGCGAGAACAGTATGTGGTGCAGAGTTATAACGATACAAGGAAAAAGGATGCATCAAAAATAAAGGCAGGAAAAACACTGATCCCAGGGGTCTGAAACACACAATGCATTCCATAGAGTGCAACATTACACAGGGTTTCAGTTCAAGACACATACACAACAGTTATAACAGAAATTTAATAGACAGTAAGAACTGCTATAAGTTTAAATGTGTTAATAACATACAATAGGTTAAGTTATACATGGTTTAAGATTGACATGGATTATCAGGGGACAAAGGGTGATGAGTTTCCCACTGTAAGTGTGTTTATATGTCCATCTGTGTCTTTGTTTAATGTGGGAGCCTGGAGATAAGATAAAAAGTGCCGAGTCAGGATCAGGGCAGACACGGCACCACTGAGGAGTGTGGTGCTTCTCTGGGTGGAAACAGCAAATCAACCCATTAACCTTTAACAACACTCTCACCCTGTTTGCACACATATACACACACACCATGGCTATCAACACACTCAGCTCGTTAGGAGGTTGATGACTATAGACCCACAACTGCCAGGTCAGACTACTACACAGCTGCAGCGGCAGACACAAGACCTTACATCTGCATATTACAGTGGAAGGCATGCAAACACACGTGTATAGAAATACATGCAGACACACGCTGATATTTAAGGTTCAGTATTGACGCTGCCTTGTCCACATGCTGTAAGAAGTATCAGTTAGTGTTACTGGTAAGAAAATGACGAAAAGAGTAATTAAAGGATATGGAAGGAAATGACTGCTTTATGTGAAAGTGAAGGACAGAGCATCATGGCTGCTTTCCAACAGGGACACTCACTTGATCCGCTTGCCCACTTCACTACATTGTTCATCCATCATCAAACTAACTAATGACCCCATTTATGTGAAATGACTGGTCTTGAAGAGAACCAATTGTGTATCAATCCATGACTGAAATAATCCCAAACAAGCTCTACTTACTATTGTTTGAGTAATATCCACTAAAATATAGTGTCCAGCTGCTTTAGTGAATAATATCTTAGTCCTTTTTGAAAATTAAAGGAATGGATCAACATTTTGCGAGTGCACTTATTCCTTAATCTGCCTAAAGTTAGAAGAGAAGATTGATCCTCCTTTTAGCAGCCGATTAGCTTAGCACAAAGGATGGAAACAGTCAGGCTAACTGTCTCGGACTATTACTTTTCTTCTTCTTGAGTTTCTGTAAAAGGTACACAAAAATATATAACATATATAAACATAATATGTTATTCCAGGGAGATGGGTGATTTCATGGCACTCATGTTTTTTCTTCTCACTATTTTTCCTTTTCCAATCTAAGATAATGAGAAAATAATCATGTAATGCTCATTACAAGACTAAATGACAAGCAACCGAATCCACTTGTCAGTGTTCTGATTGGTTAAGAGCCATCAGACACTCAGGACAGGGAGAAACAGATAAAGCAAATGAGACACAGAGACAATCTGCAGCAGCCTGAGGACAGGAATCAGGCTCAGGGTGTCGACACTTCAGGGCTTAGACGGCTCTGGCCCTGGGACTTACACGAGCTGCTGCAGACAGCTAGGCAGTACTCCTCCGACTCAAAGTTATTCCTGTTGCCCCCACAGCCCCCAAACAAGAAGGGAGCACAGCGGCCCTTCTCAGGCACGAAGTACCAGCGCTCCAGCATGGCACGACACGGGCCTGATTCAGCACGAGCCCAACAAACGGCTGAGATATGTGCACACAGGCAAATTAAAAATGAATGAAAATGTGAGCTTCTGAATTTCATGGAAAACATAAAAGTGTCACTTGTTATGTAATCAACAAACAACACATTACAAAAAAACAACCACTGATTAAACACATATAAACAAACGGTGTATGTTCACTTGATTTCTTACCTCGCACAACTTCTTCAACTGATTCAGTGGTAGTGGTGGTAGTGGTCGTCATGGCAATGTTAGCATTGCGCTCATCGCTATCCCGTTCATCGGTCATGTCATCATCTTCATCTTCCTCATCCTCCTCATCATCTTCATTGCCATCTCCGTTCTCATCCCTTTCAAAGGTTTCCACCTGTTCATCCTCATTTTCATCATCCTCTGTGGTGGCAGGCTCTGTGTCTGATGGACGTGACATGCTGCGAAGAGAGTGGCCGGTTCAGTATTTATATCAACAAGTGTGTGTTGGTGTGTGTGTATGTGTGTCTGGTGATGAAGGTCAGTGAGTAATGACACCTGTTATCGGAGTATTCCGTCTCGGCTCCGCCCCACCAGACGTCTGACTCCTCCCCTTCTAGCTCTGTGCTGTCTGACTCTCGTTCTGCCTCCGCCGGACAGCACACAAACTCCACTCCCCGGAAACGGTCGATGCCACATGGCAACAGCATCCCATAGTCATGGAGATTCATGGTGCGGTCTCCGCAGGACTAATGTTAATAACAGACATTAATCATGGCTTCCTACAGCACTTCAATGGCTAACATATGAACATCCAAAGTGAAACCACACAACGTTCATCAACTTAGTCAAACTGTAGCTTTCATGCCCAGATTATCTATTAAAACAGAGGGTTAAAAAAAAATCAATCAATATTTGAAAGACAACTGTCTCTGAGGGTGACCCGCACATTAATAAACAATCAGAAAGGAACAAGAATAAAAGAAACACAAGTCAGAACAAAGTGGCTGAGTAGGTTGATAACAAATACAAGTGGGTGTGTATGTGTGTGTGTGTGTGTGTGTGCTGAGTCATTCACTAAGAACACTAGATAGAAAAGGAAGAACTAGAACAAAAAAGTCATCAGTAGATATCATGATACTGGGAGCATGATATACAATATAAAGTTCATATCGTGAGATGACTATGATGCTATCTTGTTGTTTCTTCTCACCTCTTTGGCAACAGTGTGCCAATGCAGGTGGCTCTCACACTGGTCCATACGTTCCTGGTGCAGGAACTTACACTTGTCCGGAACGAGCAGGGCATCACTCACAAATTCCCCAACTGCAACATGAATATGTCTTTGTTTGTTACAAGTAGTTTGTATGTCCATTCACACATGCAATCATACACACACAGGCCCAGTAACATACACTTGTATGAGTAAAACTGCTTACCCAGGCAGCGGTACGGCACCACGATGTGTGTATGACTGCGGTACTGCTTGCGGCCTTTCTTGATCCAGTTCTGGATGCTGACAGGCTGGTTGGCCTCCACAACATTTGTGATCTGCAACTCTGGGTACACCTGGAGAACAGTGAGAGATTTTTGTCTTCTTTCTTACTGCATTACCTGTCTTCCTGTTCTGTCTGCTTGCTGTATCTCTCTCTGTTCCTATCTCGTTCTCTGTCTCTGCACTGCTGTCTCAGATTAAATACCTCTTGGCAGTACTGCAGGATGCCCTCTTTGGTGCCAATGCAGCCCTTGGTGCCAGAGGGGTCAGACTCCCATTTGCCACTCTGCACGTTGATGTGCATGTTGAGCTTTCCACAGAACATTGCCACCTGGGGCTCAGTTAGCAAACCCACGGAGTCATCAGCAGGCACCTGGGGAGACAAGGAGAAAGAGGACAATAAATGAAGATTGTATAATTTAACCACAAATATTTCCTGAAGCAGCTTATGTATATTTAGTCTTTCTCAGTTTATTGTAGTTCATTTCACATACAACCCTGCATATACAATTCTCTCTACAAAGTACTGGGACCAGTGAGTCATAAGGATAAAGGGCTCTTTTAAATGACTCCATGATACCACTGTGCATGTAAGTTATTATATAAATGAATAAATAAAATCACTAAAGGTTTAAGCCTAAGCAAGAGAAGATACTCAATTCCATCCCTTTGAGCCAATAAGCCAGAGAGCTAAGCATTGCAGCTGCAGGGCAGCACATGTGCGCTTTGTTAGCTTTTCTTATGAGGCTTTATTCATTTATTTTATTAGAGAGCAATTGCAAGTGCAATGAGAGTGTAAGGAAGTCAATATAGCCTATTATAGCGAAGAGTAGAAAAACTTGCATTGAACCACAGATATCAAAATTCAGCTGCGAGTGACTATGGTGTGCAAATATCCTCTTCTTTCAACTGATCCGGCTTTTGCCTTCTATTTTCCAATCGGAGATACAGTACATGTCTGCACTTAATGTTTTTCCTTCCTTGGGGTTTGGGGAAACAAGTTTCAATGTGTTTTGCCTTTTAAGCCCTCTATTTTTTCTGGTAGACATCAGAAAAGACTGATGCTGACTGTTTCCAACTTGATGCTATATTTGCCTGTGAAGAACTGCATATTAGCCTCTTGTGAGTCAGGGTGGGATAGCACATTGTTCCTTGCTGCTGAAACCACTATTTTCTCACATTATCAAACCATTGCATAATGTTATCCATTCATTCATTAAAATGTGCAATTCCATTTTTTATTTTAGAGCCTTGGCACATCCATCTTGATCATTCTGTGTCAGCCTTTCAACAGTAAAACAGAAACAAACTGCAGAAGTAAGCAGTGGGTGCATGAACCAACACAAATGTGCAGTACAGGCTACAGATAATAAAAGAAAATGTGGTTTAAAGAATATGTGATAAGGTCACAACTCAGAATTGTACTACTGAACCACATAAATCTTCAAATTGGTCCATATGAAGCTGTTCATCTCATATATCACTGTTTTATGCATGTTCCTGTAGAAAAACCTACAAGGGATAGCTATATCAAGCCATGTGTTATCAATATATTGCTCTTATGCCGAGATAACCAGTCTGACCTGGTCTAACATCAAAGAAAATGCTCAAAAACTCCCTTGTGACAGAAGGGGAGTGTGGCAACAAGTCTTAACAGTGCACAAGGGTTATCACATCTATGTATAGGTGCTGCAGGGCCTGTGTGTGACTCTTTCTGTCATGACCTAGCCTGCAGCATCAAAAGACATGCAGCACAGAAATGGCATACATTGCAAAACAATAGGTGTATTTAACTGGATTACATGGGTAGGCTCTAAAACAAATCTCTCCAAATGTATCCTAATCTCAAATACCACACAAATATTACAGCAGAGGTTTAAACTATATGTCAGAACATCTAGCTACAGCTCTACCATAACATAACAGGAACTGTATGGTAAAACCATAGCAGACAAAAAAACTGAACACTATTGAGTCGAACCCAATTTGTACAGCTACAGTATCTCAGGACAGAAACAGGTAAGGCACGTAGGGTGACAGTCAATAAGAAAAGCCCTTGAATGCTACATCAAAAAGTGTGTCCCACACAATTCGTTCTGCAGAGACATTTTTCACTGCAGCACACAGAGGTTTGAGAAGCTACAGTAGGTATGTTTGTATATTGGGTCTGCAAAAATTCTCCCTAAACAACTTGCATCCCTAAATGTACCATGGTTATGAAAAAACTACAGTATGCATCTAATGATATGCACATTGCAATGCAGGCCCTGTTCATCCTATTACCAGCTGGTCCTGAGCAGTGTATATCTCTATGGTCCAGCACAGCACAGCACAGCACAAGACAGCAGCAGCAGCAGCAGCAAGCTGCAGGCGCCATCTTGCTTATGTCAAACTAAAAACGCTGCATCCTTTTTCCATTTTCCTCAGCAATATCACCACCCTGCAGCTGCAACGCTGCTGGACTTAGTGAGTTAGGTCGACGCAGCAGCACCGGTTAACACACTCCACTTTAGCACTGAAGTCCTGTGTCGGTATCAGAGGGTATTGTTTATTCACATCAAAGCTGAAGTGTCTGCGTTGTATTTGTTACGTATAGCTGGTGTATTAAAGGATTTGTTTGAACCGTCAACATTTTTAACAGGAGTAACTGAGTGACGTGTTAGCACGGTTGCCATGCCAATCCGTGTCATTTTCCTGAAAAAGCTAACAAACGTTAGCTTTCTAGACCATATTCACTGCTGTAGTTAGGTGATTTAACTTAGCTATCTACCAAGCCATAAAGGATAATAATTACTTACCACTATAGTATAGTATTATAAGAGGCCTGCGTTAAAAAAAAACAACACTAAGACAAACAAAAACATGTCTAACATGGCAGGGCCAAGCTGTCAATCACTGACATCTAACGGTAGGCCCTGGTAGCTTTGGTTTGCTAATTCTACGCAGTAAATATGTGTACGCTGTAAGCCTCACATATCTTTGAACTCGTAAAACAAGATGTGAAGAACTCAGGGAAAATTAATACACTGGATCGAACGGAATGTGGGCCTCGGATAAACCATGTAATAATGTTATCTTTGGCAGAACCACGGTTGTAACTGTTACACAGCATTCATGTTATCAGTGCGACGTTATATCCTACGCAATAGCATCAGTTACGTTTACATTTTAAACCGCTATCTTGGACCGTCATTGTCCGTTTAACACAGTGGTTGTGGTCCGCCTGCTGCCCAGTCTGACTACAGGCCCGCCGCAGATGAGCAGAGCCAGGGAACGGCTGGCCAGTAATCTCCCACAGCCCGAGGTTTCTGCGTTGTACTCACCTCGGATGAAAGCGTCAAGGTCGCCACCAGTAACAGCAGAAACGCCGTGTGCTCTCCCATGCCGTCCTCCCGGTGTCCAGCACCCCCGTTATGTTCACGATTTTTCCGTTAATAAATAAAAAAAAATACAAATTATATGTGTTAAAGCAGGTGGTTATGTGCGTCAACACCGCGGAGGCTGAAGTGTTCCAATCCCGATCCCGATGCTCCTCCCTCCCAGTGTAGCTCCTGACGGTGACGGTGAGAGGCTGGAGGGATGGATAAGGGCGGGGGAGCGTGTCTGAGCGTGTCTGACCGTGTGTGAATCTATATGGGCTTGTTTTACCATATTCGTGGAGTAGAGCTCACTACACTTGTGGGATCCGAAATGCTGGACTTGGTTCTAGGGCTAGGGGTAGAATTCGCCCAGGGTCAGTAGGAGGCATTCGGGTGTCTAAGGTTAGGGTACGGGGCTGGGGAATGTATAATGTCAATGACGGGTCCCCACGAGTAAGACATGACACATGAATGTGTGTGTGTGTGTGTGTGTGTGTGTGTGTGTGTGTGTGTGTGTGCGCGCGCGCGCGCGTGTGTCTTGAACCTGCTCACTCATTCATTTGATAAAAAAATCCCAAGAAATCCTATTAGTGAAGCAATACTGAAAGTAACAGCATTACATGGTACGTTTATGGCCTGTCTTAGAGTTAATAGGTAAAGATCTTTTAGAGTGCGTCACAATGCTTACGTTTTAATATCATGTACTCAGTGGGAGGCGGATATCCCCATGGCCTTTTCAGTGTTGATATCAGTTTCCGGAAATTTAAGACGCTATGTTCTTGTTGGACTTCACAGGTTTCACTTTTCCTCACATGACTCACTGAGGGCGACCGTGTGGATTGCTGCTCGGTTCACGGACTTGGATTAACAGACTTTGACATTGATTTAATTACTTTGACATTAATCAAAGCGGTAACAACAGGGCCGATTGGAATAATTCTTCTACAAATTGCAATACAACTTTAGCAGCATATTTCTTCATGTAGATCAGATCCATTTGTCCTGTTCACCGGCAGAGCGCAACATGAGGACGTTACTTGGAGTGTTAATGGTGGCAATTGTCTCAGGTAAGCCTTCAGCTACAGAAGAACCACACACAAACATTTGTTATTCGTATAATTAAACGAATCTACATGTACTGATGACGTTCTTACTTTAGTGATTGTCGTATTGCATTTTTTTTTTTACCGCATGTCATTTGGAGAAGTAACCCATAGTGTAGTAGAAGTGGAGAAGTTCATTCAGGCGTGGGACATGCCAAGTCTGAGCAAAACTTTGCTTGAAAAAGCCATCTCTGATCCGAATTAAGCAAAACATGTAACACAAAAACTTTGTGTCCTCTGATTTCACTTCTTGAACGAGTTCTGTAGGATTATTTGCAAGATATTCAGTTGTAGATTAAATGACTTTTACAAAGATTTGTCAGATTCAGATTCAACGTCATACTGAGCAGTGAGGAATCAGACTGTTTTAGAACACCTGGTTATATTCCACTGGACATTCTGTACAGATGTATGGCTACAGGGATTCAGAAATATTAACCACATCAATCCTACAAACAATCCTCATATAGTATATCAGGATCTGTGGAGTAAGGTGACAGGATATTAATGCAATGTAATTTTGGTTTGTGAGATTGTATTTTTAAATTTTATGTTGAATGTTTTCTGTCTATGACACCTTGGAATAGGACCATCCATAAATGATCTCACCTTAATAACATGTTAATCCGTTATAAAAACTTTGTTATCAGGGACAAATCAAATTTAAAAAAGCTTGAAAACAATTCATAATACTCCAGTGTCTTTGTGGTGCTATGCCTAAACCACATGCAAATCTTCATGAGAATGTACAGTATTTTATTACCTTTTTCCAAAAGGTGTTTAAAATCTTTGATTTTCTTTGCCATTACCAAGAGGGGCTATTTTATTAAAACATGCAGATTCAAATACATTTAAATTATTCATGTGTCACTGATTAATTTCACTTATGCTTGTTAGAGTTTCCTATAGCACAAAGTTTTGGCTTCAGTAAAAAAGTGTATGTATTAAAAATAGATTCATGACACATGTCTGTCTGCTTCATATATAAGCAATATGTAAGTGAAATTTTTCCCATTGTTTTTAAGGTGTCAGTAATAAACATCTGTCTTCACTTGGTTTCTTTGCACCTGGAGAGAAATTCAAACAAAATGAGTCTTCATTGTCTGATAAGAGTGGCTTTGTGTTTGTACAACAGCACAAAGGATCAATTACCGAAACTGGGTTATGTCAGTAAATCTGCACAGTCCTTAGCAGAATGGAGTAAATCATTTATAAATATGAAATATTTTATAATACATTGTTGCCCATAATTTTGTTTTCAGACACAATCCTCTGTTTATTCCTATTTAAATGCATCAGTAATCACTTTGGAAGAGATTGACTACTAAAGTTTTGAGAAGATATACACTTTACCTGTCAAGAATAAATCACATTGTCACAGTCATTTCATGGAAAGAGGTAAAAAATATTTTATTCCAACTTTCCAACTAGTTTTCTTATGATTTGAACATCTAAATATCAGGCAGTTACCACACATAGAGCAAGGGGATAGGAGGGAAGTCCCAGCAGATGTGGGCTGCTTTAAAGAAAATTGAATTCATAAACATTTCTTCTCATGTAAACATGGTGGAATCAATGTGAAAGTAACAGCGAAAGTAAACAAAACAATGGTTGAAAAAAAAAACAAAAGACAATTAGGGACAGAATAGCAGACATTGCAGGAAGGGTGTGTTTTGATGCCTGCTGATAGTCCAGGGCTGCATGTCTAGTAGAAAGATGAGACAGAAACTGTGGCCTCTACACATGGGGCACCTACTTAGACCACTACGCCACACGACGCCCCAAGTTTTACTGTTTGATTCCACTTAAAATGAATAGCTTTTATTTTCAGACCCCCTCAGAACTTACAAGCATGAGATCTTCTGACTTGAAGTCTTTTGACTTGAAATGATGAGTTGACTGAAAGTAGTTCACTCATCAAATTAGACACATGATCAGCATACACTATAAGTCAGAATATGCAGAGATAGTATATATTGTAAATAGTATAATAATTCTTCTCATAATGAAAAAAAAAAATTCTAATCATGATAAAGGTAAACATCCAATGCTGTCCCTACCCTAGTATAAGTATACAGAGTAACTGGGAAGAGTCTCTTTCAGTGAAGTGGCTTTCTAATCTGTATAGCAACATCATCTGTCCTCACATAAGGGAACCATAAAAGGAAAAAACTGAAACGGTAAACTCCTTCAAGGGGAATGAAAATGGAAGAAACCACAGCGCAACAGAGGAGAGATACATATTCCAGGATGAAGAGACATGCAATAAATGTTGTGTGTACAGAACAAAGCATGTAGTAGACAAAGTATGGACAAAATTATAGATTGTAAACATACATGAAGAAAATGATCCAGGAGGACGTCAAGCAACTTCTAGATGCTGCCAACATGGGACTTGAGCCACTTGACCTCCTCCCCATCATGAAGAGCTGGAAGGAGGACAGACTAAAGGGGACTCCTGGAGGATAAAGATCCAGATTCAGAACATTTGGAATGGGACACCACCAGCCAGTGAAGAGAGAGATGATGAAGGAGAAAACAGGGAGAGGAATGCACACGGCTTGGGGCACTCATGTGCTGGAGGGAGCAAACGAACAGAGGGTTAGAGAGAAGTCTAAAGTCTTCGAACTTATGCTGGTATGAAATATAATAGGACCAGAGACAGCTCTAAAGCTTTAATGTCAAACTCAAAACTGGCTCCTCACACTGAGAATAAAACTGTCACTGCAAAATAAACCACAACATTTGTCAGTATGACTAAAAAGTTCTTCATTAAACTTAATCTCTCAAGTTTATTGAACATGTTATTGAGCTAATCATTCAAGTTTAGGAAACTGTGCTGAGAAATATCTATAATAACTAGAATTACTGCATTGCAATTGTATCTTCCACCAACCAGGCAAGTTGCAAAAAAATATGATCACAATTTCCCCTTTCTGAATTACAGCTTTGAATAATGGCCAGAAGTGTTTTTCAGAACATTATGATGTCACAGTGAAGATGACCTTTCACCTTTTGGGTCTAAAATGTCATCACTTCATTTTATCCTTATAGACATTTGAGTTAAATTGTGTCATGATTAGTGTATGAATCTTACAAAAACGTGTTTTGTGAGGTCACAGTATGCCACAAGCAATGAAATTCTCTCTGGGCATCCCTGACATATGGAGATCATCTTGACCTTGAACTTTGTCATTTGAAAACGCAAACCTAAGAATTTTGTCCTTGAGTCCAAGTTTTTATTTGTGCCAAATTTGAAGAAAATCCATCTAGGCATTACTGAGATATTGTGTTCACAAGGCCAAAACCGTGTTTTGTGAGGTCACCATGACCTCGACCTTTGAACTTTGACCACCAAAATCTAATCAGTTCATCCTTGAGTCGTTGTTAATGTTTGTGCCAAATTCAAAGATGTTCCGTCAAGGTGTTAGTGAGATATTGCCCTCGTGAGAATGGGACGGACGAACTGTCAGCTCTGACTGCTGCTGGCAAAGAGGCCTAAACAACTTTGTTGAGAACTGAACTAATCCACATTTACCCTTTCTCCTGCAGGTGATAATGAGGTGACTATCAATGGCACCCTGGAAGGCAGTGTCCTTCTGCCATGCAACTGCCCAGAGAGAAATTTGGAGAAGGAGTTTATGTGGCAAATTGACGAACCAAACATGAATGTGGTGTTCATACACAACACGAACACTTCAGGCTTCCATGGCAGATACAAGGACCGAGCCAAAATATTTGTGGCTGAGAACAGCAGTGACTGCTCCCTTCTCCTAACCAAGATCACAGCAGATGACCAGGGAAAATACAAATGCAGTTATGATCATAGAGACCAATACAATCGTTTTTTTATTAATCTAAACATCTTTGGTGAGTCATTCATTTATTTATTCTGCATGCCTGCAGCATCTGATCATTCATCCACTCACTCATGAACTTACAGCAGAATCTTTCACAATTTTAACTGAAGTCTTCTCTCACCAGCAAACTACACCGTTTGTCAAAACTCTTTCAAGAATGGTGCCATAAACACTTACCACTGTCATGTTGAAGGACGCTACCAAGAAGCCGAGATCCAGTGGTATTTGGAAGGAAATGTTCTTACAAATTCATCCGAAACTGACATAACCCGCACTGACCCTGTGGGTGATCCTAATGGCGTCTACAGTTTCGAGAGCCAACTTATGACTGAAAGCAACTGGACTTCACAGCCTACATGTGACGTGAAAGCCAAAGTCATATCGCCTATCATTAGCAATGACTGTGAACAATGGACTGGTAACTATTTGTTTTTATTTTGTCTTGGAGACGGATGTGACTAACATATTTTCCTTTACCATTATTACCAGATTAAAAGCATTATGATATTAGCTGTAAACGCAGCGACATAAAACACCTAGTTCAGGATAATTAAAGTCTGTAACATAAAGAATCATATTTTTGATTTTTTTAATGTTTCCGCAGATCCACCCAGCAAAATCATTGCACAACCAAAATACATCATGAGATACTCATTCAAAATCATTCCCATTGTGTTGGTGCTTGGACTTTCCCTCTTCTTGTGGCACCGTTGGAAAATCTCACGGTGAGTCAGTAAACCAGTTTTTATCAAAATACCAGAAACCTCTATTCAAGATACTGTTTCTGAGCCTGACTGGCTAAACCAGAGTTGCACAATATGGATTAGACTTTTGATATCAAGCTATTACCAGTATTGCTCTTCTTTGTGTTTGGGCTTTTTTATGCCTTTATTTGATAGTGCAGTAGAGAGACAGGAAATGGGGAGGCAGAGAGAAGGGGAATGACATGCAGCAAAGGCCGGGACTCGAACCGGGGCCAACTGCACAACGCCCTGTATTGCTTTTCTTTGTTGACATGCATATTGCTCCTGACTCTAATTTTCCATATCTCTTTTCTTTGCTAAAGGGGTTTACCGAGGATAAGAGGAATGCAGTCAGATGACTTACAGTGATAAATAAGATAAGATGATGATCCACTCTGAAAGTTTCAAAAACAGTTTCCACTGCAATGGTGGTTAGTTATGACTGTGCCATCATGTCCATGCAGAGACTGTTTACAGGCAGGTTACATCCTGTGTTCATGCCATTCATTCTTTTTCTGACAATAATATCCACTTTGTGAACTTGTTGATGTTGACATTCTCTCCCGAGAGCTCAGACTGTCAAAAGAGCGTGCCCTCTGTGAGGATGAACTGATATATTGAAATGCAAACAGTTACACCTTAGTAACTAACAAAGCCCAAAAAATGTAAAATCGTCTCACAGCAAAAATAAATCACTAAATGTGTGCACTAGATTCCTTACCAGGTGATGCATGGTGAGGCTATTCAATCAAAATAACTACAGTATTTATAAAATTGCATCGCTGACATGGTAAAATGCAAAACAAGGTCACAATCACTCTATAAACCCAAAAACAATGAGACCCATTTTTCAGTCTTTAAGTTCTAGATGTCCTTCATCACAACAGAAATGCAGCATAAAACTGAGCCATTTAATGTTTTAATGTACCTTGGCATATACATTTTAAGTGCCATCATTTGCATGTGTAAAAATATGAATTCTGGATTGATATGGACCAATTTTATAAGCTGTTTTATCATTGTTTACAATTAAAGTGTTGTTCATTATGCATTGTTCATTCCCACTTATATAAATGTTACACGTGCAATGTACATATTTGTGGAAGGTGTATAAAAAGTGTATGCTTGAGGGCCACTATGCTGTGATTTTCTTTTAAAGGTCCTTGGACAAGGGTGTGTTCAAATGTAAGCTGTTCTTCTATAACTGCCTTTGCAGTAGACTAATTACATTGAATGCTGTTGGTTTGCCAGATTTGTTTCAGCTTTTGTAAATAAAGTTAAAGTGATTTTATGTAATGTATAGTACATCAGGGTTTTGGATACATATAGCATTTCTGTGACATTCCCAATGTTGTTTTGTCATCATTATCATTTGTGCTTTCTGTATGTAAATTGCTCTGATGTGTGCAGGACAGTAAGAGACTATAATAGCTTAGCTGAAGAACACCATATTCTTGACTACTATTACTGGACAACATGTTGAGACTTATCAATGGTGTGTATCTACACAGAGGACAAATTCTACTTACCTCTGTCTAGCTAGAAGAAATGTGGCAACATTTGGCTGTGTGTGTGTGTGTGTGTGTGTGTGTGTGTGTGTGTGTGTGTGTGTGTGTGTGTGTGTGCGTGTGTGAGGGTGAAGGTGAGATGACAGAACAGTTAATAACAATAAATCAAAGAACTTTGTTCCTTTTGATCCTTCACATCATGTCAGGTCAGGCATTTCACTATCCATTTCCATGTAGGTTTAGATTGGCAAGATAAGTTCATGAGCCAGATCAAGAAATAACAAAGTTTGTTAGGGAGTAGCAGGGTGGAAAACTTTGATCTCATTTCCCTTTGTTACTTTTCCCCTTTTCAGCAACCAGATACATACTGCATTACTGTGTAAATAAATAATGAATTAAGTACTAAGATAGTAAATAAACTAGTACAAACCTTTAGCACCAATAGGGGTCTAAACATGGGGAGGGCTCTCAAAAAAAAAATTTTTATCTGCAATTTGAAATTGTAGATTATAAGCATTATAAATATACTATTATGGTTGGCTGAATAAATAGTTTGGCAGAGTGTTCTAGTCACAATAAAAGAGCCTCTGAGAAGCTTTTCCCACTGAAGCAATGAAGACAAAAATGGAGACCAAATACTGTAGCTGCACAAATTCTGGTGCTGAGGACTTGAAGCTATTGCGTTATTTACAAAACAAATGACTAAGATCAGACCACCAAGAGAAAAGAAAGAGGACAAGCAATGGGAAACATCTGGTCATTAATGTGCCAAAATTCTTGTCAACAGTTTGATAGCAAAACAGTGAGATTACTGCTGATAAATGACAAAGAAAAAACTGCCACAGAAAGTGAATGAGCTGGAGTCCATCATCAACATCTGCTCATGTTACTAAGGATGCCAACTAGGTGAGCTCATATACAGTGGCTCATGAAAGTCATTTCAAGCAGTCAGTAACTGTTGAAATATGATCACTGTACTGTCACATGTTGAGGCATTTCACAGTTTCATTTACAAATATTACTGATACGAATAAACACTCAGTAGCATCAGAAGAGTTTAATATTTTCAACAGAGGTATAATCTAACATGACTCCTGTATTGAGACCAGTCAATCAGTTAGTTACAGTGATAGTAGGTTATAATCCAGGGTTTTTCGTTTTATTAGTTAATTATAGTTTATTATAGTACATATGTTGCAGCAGACTACACTTGTTGGAAACGAATTCCCTTCAATTCAGCAAAAACATACTCAGATGTTTTTTTTTATTATGACACATAATAAGCTTTCCTCGGTATAGGAACCAGTTACATACGTCATCACTGCGTCTGACGTTGTGTCTGACGTTATGGAACACCAGGAAGTGAAACGGGCGGCTAACTGGCTAGCCGAGAGCTAGCGAGCAGAAATGAATCTACATGTAAAAATTGTTCTGTGTATTTTGACGAGCTGGAACCGGATTAACATCTTATCCACGGTAAGGCCAGTTGGACTAGGAAACCAGCGTGCTTTAAATGCCAGTCAAGTCGTTAAATATCAGTGGGTTAGCTTGATGCTAATGTGTCTTGAAATAGACGACGGGTACATACACGGTAATGTAGGTTAGCTTACAAAAGGTGGTGAATATTCAGCTCACATTGTACCAGGTAGTCAGACAGCAAGTTCAAGTTAAAGGGACAATTCATCCTAAAACATTTCTAATGCTGGACAGCAGAGAGAAGCTGCTACATTCCGTAAAATATGTTGTATAGAGACGGGTGCTGAGACACTGACAGCAGGAGCGGGGGTTTTAATATATGTGGGCATGGGTTTGAAAGCAGCTGTAAACTCTACTGGCTTATCACAGATACACCATAACACGTGTTCATACTGGGTATTAAAAAAAAGAGAACAGATTCATAGTAAATCAAAAACTGTTAAGTTGAAATCTGTAATACCTGCGTTGGCAAAAACAAGAGCTATCAAGAGATATCTAGAGCTGCAACGTTTAATAGATGTTTTGTTTTTTTCAAGCACACATGCAAATCATTGGATTCAAGCCTCTCAAATACAAGGGTTTACTGCTTTTCTTGGTCTTACATTTCTGTGCAGAATAATGTGGGATTTTGACTTTCGGTCAGACACAACACATTTAATGATATTAGGATCTTGTGACAGAGCAAATGATAACGGAATAATCGAGAAAATTGTCATATAACAGCAACTGATGATGAAAATAATAGTTTCAGCTCTAATCATATCGTAGCTGACTGGGGGATGTTTTTATCATGAGCCCAAACTGAAAGTATAATATGCATTGTTCTGGAAGTTTCTCCCATCTCCACACAGGATCTCTAGAGCCCTGCCAGAGTGACCATCGGTTTCTTGGTCACCTCTCTTACTCTGATTGCCCAGTTTGGCTGGGTCATCGGTTCAGTTAGAGTCCTGGTTGTTCCAAACTTCTTCCATTTAAGAATTATGGAGGCCATTGTGCTATTGGGACACTTCAATATAGCAGGAATTCTGCAAGCAGTCCCTTCCTCTTCAGGGCTTGATTTACTCTCATATGCAACTTGAACAAAAGGAGGAAACTGCAGACGTCATCTGTTCTGTGGAAATAATTGACCTTTTGCATTTGCCAGAGTTGGGAAAAAGGGAAATATGTTGTTATGTAATGACTTGAACACTTAATCAATTATCAAAGTTATTTTCAATTAATTTTTGTTAATCAAATAAAAGATCACTTGTCGTTTGAACAATAAGTGTATGGTGTTTTTACTTGAAAAATGACTCAGCTCATTAACTGATTATTAAAGTACTTTTCTTAATTAATTTCTGTTAATGAACTAACTGATGAATCTATTTATTTCAGCACTGGTAAAGTTCACAGCCATACAAGGAATCGACAATGGGCCAACGAAGGAGAGCGGCAGCTGTGAATAATCCTTCGTCTCAGGGAGTCTCTGGAGCTCCTGCAGAGTATGTCAGAGTCTGTGGCAGGAAGCACAACATCTGCATGGTGTCTGACTTCTTCTATCCGAATATGGGAGGAGTAGAAAGTCACATTTACCAGCTTTCCCAGTGTCTGATTGAAAAGGGACACAAGGTGGTGATTGTCACCCATGCCTATGGCAGGAGGAAGGGTGTCAGGTATCTGACCAATGGACTGAAGGTCTACTACCTCCCCCTGCAGGTGATGTACAACCAGTCCACAGCCACCACCTGCTTCCACAGTCTCCCACTGCTGCGCTGTGTGTTTACCAGGGAACGCATCACTGTGGTGCATGCACACAGCTCATTCTCCGCCATGGCCCATGATGCACTATTCCATGCTAAGACCATGGGCCTTAACACGGTATGTGACTAATTTTAAGCCAGATCAAACATTTTTTTTTAAAATCTTAGTATCTAATCATGTCTCTGTGCTACACATGATAGAAACCTAAAGAGTATTGTCATTTACAGGTGTTCACGGACCACTCACTGTTCGGCTTTGCTGACGTCAGCTCTGTGCTGACCAACAAGCTTCTGACTGTGTCGCTGTGTGATACCAACCATATCGTGTGTGTGTCGTATACCAGTAAGGAGAACACAGTGCTCCGTGCAGCACTGAACCCAGAGATAGTGTCTGTTATTCCCAACGCTGTTGACCCTACAGACTTCACCCCTGATCCCTCCCAGCGCCAAGAAGACAGGATCACTATTGTTGTCATCAGCCGTCTCGTCTACCGCAAAGGTACAGAGAGTTAGGCTTTGATATTTCTGCTGGTCAGTTCAGGCTGTAATCAAGGCAGCAGAGTGGTATGGTGAATAGGACAATACCCTTTTTTTGGGTGGACAAAATTTCAGGCCTCAATTTGGCATGAATCATTCACACTTTATTTATATGGCACATATGGTACATTTTAACAGAATACAGTATGTTTGCCATTAGGTAACTTGAAAAAACATGCAACATGTATTGCCAATATAGTTTGTCTACAAGAGCGCACTGACAAGTTATTGTAATGATAATGTCACAAATGCAGCCTATATCTTTAAAAATAAAATTCGAGGGATTCTCTTCAAAAAATGTTCATGTTTTATGTTTATTGTTTTTATCTAAAAAAATAGGAACATATATAATTATCATGTTTTTTAAACACTCAAATATCTACATGCATGTCAGCCTCACAAATCCATAAGTGTCGTAGTATAAGTGATGCATTACATTCATTGTGAAAGCAAATTTTCGCTCTCTCTTATTCTGATAAGGAATTGATCTTCTTGGTGGAATAATCCCAGAGCTCTGCCTCAAACATCCAGATCTGCATTTCCTGATTGGTGGAGAGGGACCGAAGAGACTCGTGTTGGAGGAAGTGAGAGAGAAATACCAACTACACGACAGGTACTGCTCATATTTCCTGAGAATATTTGTCAGAGAGAGGTATCTTAAACCTCTTTCGGGATATGGTCTCTGTCAAAACATTTCATAAAGAGATCAAGTCATGAAGAGAAATCCTATAAAACGGCTCCACTATGTTGAATCTCAGGTATTACCATTGCGCCAGGCACATTTTCTGTTGACTGTTGACAACGCTGTTTAGCAGATATTTGTTTGTGCAGAAATGTTTGTAAGCAGCAGCGATGTGTATGGAAATACAGTGAGTTGCTGCATTTCTTTTGTTTTGACTGTCCAGGAATGAACCCATGAAAGCATTCTGGCATAGTCACACATTTGGTTTGTGTGTGAACGTCATATTACATTTGCCTAACTTCTTTCATTTGAAACATTGCAGGGTGCGACTGCTGGGGGCTCTGGAGCATAAAGATGTTCGTGGTGTTTTGGTGCAGGGTCACATCTTCCTCAACACATCGCTGACAGAAGCGTTCTGCATGGCCATTGTAGAGGGAGCCAGCTGTGGACTGCAGGTCTGGTGCTATTCATGCAATAGTTTAAGGAAAGGAAATCGTGTGTCATGGAGGGCAGAGAGTGTGAGGGATTACAGTCCAAAACCAGGCAACCATTTTGCTGATAACACAGCTTTCACTGGAGAAGAGTAAATTGATCATTAAATTCACCTGTTTTTTTTTTTAAATCTAAGTGAAAACTTGTACTCTTTACCTTATGTGGTACAATATTTCACACAGCTTCATCGAGTAATGATTGTGAAAGCTGCACATCTGTGTTTACATTTGCTTTCTGAAACTCATTCTAACACAAAAGCAGACAAAACATCTCTTTCTCTCTCTCTGTTCCTAAGTCTCGCTCTCTCAAAATTTGGTTTCGTTTGATGTCGCAACAGTTCTTGGTCTGTCATAAGTAGTCATCTTACTTCATGTTGCAACACAAGGCAAAAATGAATATATATACAATTCCACAAAGAATGTTTACACAATACAAATAACCACTCTCACCAAAGGAAATAAAACGAGACCAAAACAAATATTTACAGTCCTTGAAGCCCATTTAACTGAGTAGAACTGCTGTCACAGTGGAAGATGTTAAAGTGTTATTGTGACAGATTTCCTGTGGGTGTGTAGTGTATTTCATAGCACTGCTTTAAAAACATAAATCTCTCAAGGGTGAAAAAGGGAAGAAGCATAGCAAAATAGTGAGAGGAGTGAGTGGAAAAAAAGTCAATCACGTGACGGGGGAATTCTGACCTGGTCTATCTTAGAGGAAGAGAAAGCAATTATGTAGACAAAATAGCAATTACAGAGTAAGGCTAGAAGGAACATTACTGGTAAATGTGGTCAGTATCATTTATAAGGCAGTAAAGGTCTCCTTTGGGATAACCAAGAGGCCTGTGTGCTGAGTCTGCAAACCTCCGCTCTTTTGAAATCTTTAGGATATGACTCCTTCGATGAGTGTATAGTTAGCGTGACCCATGTATTCAGAATAAACATAAGTATGAGAATAAGATCCAGGAGTGATCGTGTGTGTGTGTGTGTGTGTGTGTGTGTGTGTGTGTGTGTGTGTGTGTGTGTGTGTGTGTGCGTGCGTGCATGCATGCGTGCGTATTTCTACAATGTGTGCATCAGATTTTTGTTTTATTTCTAAGGTGGTTAGCACTCGTGTTGGGGGCATTCCTGAGGTGTTACCTGAGGATTTGATTACCTTGTGTGAGCCCACTGTTCGGTCGTTGTGTGCTGGTCTGGAAACAGTCATCGCCCAGCAGCGGTCAGGCTCTTTCCCCTCCCCCGCCTCCATCCATGCATGTGTGAAAAACCTGTACACTTGGAGAAACGTTGCAGAGAGGACTGAAAAGGTAGGTTCACCAACACCAAAACCTGCCATTCTTTTCTCAGCCATATCCTGTTGGTATCACTTCATTATGCATTTTCACTGGATCATGTGTGTGTATTTGAGACCTTCTTGTTTCAGTATTCATTCTCTTACAAACTAAAGCTAACTTCAACTGAAGCTTTATGTTAGATTTAGGAATTAAACACAACTGTAATCTGAAGGTTATTACAGAAACCTGATTTCCACAGCAAAAGTTTTTCATGGGGAAAGATGATCTCTTGGCCACGTTATGCGTAATCAGACTGTAACCCTTAAACAGGGAAAGAATGGCTGACAACTGACTAACTAAAGCTGAAGCTGACACTAAGTTGTTTCCACAGATTATTTGTCATAACAGCACCATCAGCCCACACACACACACACACACACACACACACACACAAAATAAAGAAGTGTCCTGTATCCCTCGCATGGTTAGAATAAGAAAGCCTTGTTTTCCAAATAAGGTGTGAGTAGAGGAGAAATCTGATTACTGACCTGAAGAATGTATTCACAGACGCATTAACCAGGTTACTACATTGCATTGTAAACATGTTTTCTGATTTCCTGTGTAACCTGGTTTCTCTGAGTAACCCTTTTTCTCGTGTGCATGTAAATGTATTGATTCAAACCGCTGAGACTACACACTGAGTGGTGGATGGTGAATTGTTTGTTGACACTCATCATTGGGTTTTCCCTCTCAGGTGTATGACAGAGTGGCTGGAGAGGAGGTGCTTCCTCTGGACAGACGGTTACGGAGGCTGAGGGCCCACTGCGGCCCCGTCGCCGGCTCTATCTTTGCATTTGTAGCTGTTTTGGACTTCCTCTTCCTGCTGCTCCTACAGTGGTTGGTGCCAGATCAGGTAATGGATGTCGCTGTGGATGCCACCGGCCCTCACGGACTGTGGAGACAGGAAACAAGCAGTAAAAAAGAAACTCACTCTAAAAGTGCCACTTCATCATAGTGACCACTCCACAACTCCACCTCACCTCTAGCTGCTTATATGATGTCATGTGTCGCCTTTGTGGTGCAGACTGACATTTTAACTATTGAATGCTGAATGTGCTCGTGGTAACCCCAAACATTGTTTACATTTACTTAACAAAGGGACCTTGTGTGAAAGCATTTTATCTGATACTTGGAAGGAGTGTTTTTATTTTTATAATTACTGATTAAAATGTGGTATCTGTGGTATCAGTCCTTGAGGCTTTAATAAGGACCTGTTTCATTTGGAATCCAAAGTATAGAAAGCACTTAACAGAGGGAGTTAAAGGGCTGGTTAATTGTATACTTACTGTTGCATTGTACAAAACTGCAGTAACTTGTTTTCAGTTTTCTTTTTGTGATGCTGTAGATCAGTGCAAAAAGTTTGATTTGTCTAATTTTCAGACCACAAACTTCACTCCTCTGTCTAATAACTTATTTTTTTCTCCTCGATGATGTTTCATATTTATATGGGAGTTTTTTAAGATGATAATTTGACTCCCAGACAGTCTGCTCTGGAAAATAAAGTGTACTTTCAAATGATTCATCCATTTTCACGTCATTTTATCTAGATTGTCTGCAGCCATGCAGCAGTTTTATCTTCTAGAGACCATTACATGAAACAGTAGGCCCAGAAGACAGTGGAGGACCACTTTCTTAGAATCAGTCTTACAAAAGCGATGGCTCTTGGGAATGAAGAGTGCCAGACAAAACACAGAGTAGCTGTGAAACAGGAGGTGATAGAGATGGGATGGCATGGCTATTCAAGGCTAACAATGTGCATTTGCATAGCACCATGGTTGGAGGCTCAATCATACCTGCAAAAAAGACTTGTTACATGTCTTCAGGTAGACAGAGATAACTGTTAGTAGAAACTGATACTGTTCCCTTAGCTGAGAATATGCAGCCATAACAGAAGACGGTGCAGATCCATACTTAACAGATTTGGCAAGATGAAATACGGTGCACTGCTGTTGTATCTCCATTTACAGTGTGAAACGTGCTTGTCCCTCTGTTTGTAACTATAACTGTATTCACGCACATTTCTAAGAGCTTTATTCAAGGTGTATCAGTACAGGCCCATCCCCACAGCCATTGATATGCACAAACTGTAGACTATATCCGTGGACTGGGATGAGGGCGGGTGGGAGGTGGTAATGTGGAGGAGGTGTCCAAGGACCCAGATAAGAGGGGGAGGAAGGCCGACTTCAGGATTGTGTATCCAACAGGGCGAGCTCAAGTCCTGGACAGTCGTGGAGAAGTCTGCTGTTGTTTCATTTTCATCATGGCTGCTGTTCAAACGGAGGTTTCCCTGTGCTCACAACCTTGGCAGAGGCCCCTGTACATCTATGGGGGGCTGCCATGCAACTCGCTGATGGCTGGTAAGTGTTTTCTTTGTCTATTTGATCAATCCAGCTCAGTTATTTTGTGTTTTCTGAGAAATATTAAGCTCACACAACTGGACTACAGTTCTTATTTCTTCAGCAGATTTAGTAACAGTGCTTTGATTTTGCACATCTTTACATTACGCAACGAATACGTGTGTCTTCATGGTGTTTTTGAAAGTTACATTTTTGTAATCAGAATTACAGGTTGGTTGAGAACACAAGACTGTGCATGCAAATGTTGTTGACTGGCTCTGCAGTAGCCAACAAAGCCCTGAGTGTGTATTGTTCAGACAGTTTGGTGTATAGGGTTTGGTCAACCCTGAAAAACCAGATAAGCATATTCAAATGAGGTCATCTTAACATTTCAATGAACAGAGAGGAAGATCACTTGGGTTTATCTGTGAGTTTTCTGAACATGGAGACTTTCCTGATCTTATTCTTTGTGTGACAGACTCCTGGTCGGACAGGACTCCTCTCCATGAAGCCGCCTACCAGGGCAGACTGCTCCACCTGAGAAGCCTCATCGCTCAGGTAAACTTAACATGGGTCTCTGTTGATACTTGCAAGTACACTGTCCACACATGAAATAAAAACCCTCTCATCTTCCCTGCAGGGCTTCCATGTGGACACACTCACCATGGACAGAGTCTCTCCCCTCCATGAGGCTTGTCTCGGCGGTCATTACGCTTGTGCCAAGTTCCTGTTGGACAATGGAGCAAATGTAAGAAACATGTTTTTTGTTTTTAGGGTGTTTATGACAAACAACTAATCAATACGGATGCAGAAAAATTATTTAATGCACGGACCCTCCTTCATATTACATATGGCTTGACTAGTTGTCCAACAGGAGTGATGAGTGCAATGTTAAATCACTGGATGGATTTGTTTTAGAGAGATATTGATTCAACTATATGATGACTTTGGAGGCTGCCAGTGTATTGTGTTATACAGAGAAACGTTTCTAATATTTTATCCATCATGTTTATATCAGTGAGGGTAGACTAAACGATAGAAACACCTCTCATTATAACCCAATAGTAAAGTGTACCTAACCTAACATCATCCTACTTCGTCCATTAGGATGTAAACAGTATATCAGCGAGTGTTTTTGATGTCATATATTTTTGTATGTGTCTGTGTTATTCCTGATAAATAAGTGAACAAAGTGAGGAAAGTGCAGCTCTTTTCGGAGGAGCATCATCAGTTTCTTCACATCTCCCTCCATAGGTGGAGGCGGTATCAACAGACGGCGTCACACCTCTCTTCAACTCCTGCAGCAGCGGGAGTGCTGCGTGTGTCAGGCTCATCTTGCAGCACAATGCCTCCATCGGCACCACCTACCAGCTGGCATCGCCCATCCACGAGGCCGCAAAGAAAGGTGTGTATGTGCTAATGTGTATGGGTGTAAACTTGGCATGATCTGTCACAGCTCAGATTCTCCTGCAGTGTTGTCTCTTCGTCAGATCACAGAGAGTGTCTGGAGCTGCTGCTGTCCTACGGAGCTCATATTGACATGGAGCTGCCGGTGGTGGGGACACCGCTGTATTCCGCCTGCATGGCTCGGGCCGCCGCCTGTGTAGAGGCGCTTCTACACTCAGGTAATGTAATCAGTACCCAAACAGCCGTTTATCCCTTAAAGAGATACATGCTTTCAGTATAAAACTTGAACATCCAGGCACTACAGGTTACCTTTTCTTTGATTTGCCTCTAATTTTAATTATGGAGTAATTTCAAGATAGGGCTAGTGCTGAATATTTCTCATTGCCTAGTCTACAACATGTGAATATCACAAACGGCAACAATCACCCGTTCTCTACGGTGGCCCTGACAGTTCAAAGCACTGCAACTTCAAAAAATTCTGAAAACATCTTCCTCAATTTGAGAACACACGTGCTGCAAATACTCACAACACAATGGAAGTGTTGCGGATACAAGCAGGCCGGGCACACACTTGTTGTTCAGTGCCCAATTGTGACTTTTGAAGTTAAACGCATTGAACAACAAGTGCATCCCCAGCTGGGTTCATCACCTGTTCGTGTCCCCTCGAAACACTTCCGTTGTGTTGTGAGAATTTGCAGCGCACGTGTTGTCAAATTAATGAAGCTGTTTTTCTAAACGTGTTTGTCTATTTGCATGTGTTTCCTTACGTTGCAGTGCGTTGAGCTCTCAGGGCCACTGTAGTTCTCAGTAACTTAAAGGAAAGATATTATCCTTCCTGTTTTCTGCTCCTTCTAATTCCTCTTGCATTGCACAATCCTTATAATAGACGTCATTTGCGAGTTGTTAACTTCCCTATTAAGTAACAAGAACTGTAAAAACAATATTGTCCACATGCCCCTGGAAGACCATTTACTCTATGCGATTATACACTGTGTTGTATAAAGTGTGCAAGTAGCATGAGTCATAATAGCAAGACTGACAATTTAGTGTTTTTTTCTAAATTATGCATCCTATAATTTCATGAATCTTGTTAATAAAATAAGTTTGAGCTGCATTTATTAGGCAATTCATTGATTATTCGATCAACAGAAAATTAATTTGCAACTATTCTGATAATCAGTTATTCATTTTTGTCATTTTTTAAAGCAAAAATATCAAATATTTGCTGTCTCACATTTGAGAATTCGATGTTTTGTTTGTCTTGCGTGATAGAAACCTGAATGTCTTTGAGACTATTGCGTCAGACAAAACAAGATATTCAAAGATGTCTTTCTGTGCTGTGGGAAATTATAACATTTTATAGATAAAACTATCAGTAAGTTAATTAAGAAAATAATTAGATTAGTTGAAAATGACGGAAAATTGCAGTCCTAAAATAATTAGATATGGCTGGTTCTTTTTTTTCACAGTCTACTCGCCACTTTTAATTTCACAGTTCAGAATAGCACGTAATGTTTATGGAACTTGCAGATTTGTCAATGTAATTTGCAGAACTGATAGATGTGGCTGCAAATCATCTAATATTATTCATAGCTCTGCTCTAAGTTCCCATCTTTTCATGTTTCCATTAGTGACCAATTTTCATTCTATATAGTTTGTTTGTTGTATTAGTTTGTTTTGGTTTTTATGGTCTTAATCACATTTGGTTGCTCTGGTGTGGTTCTTTTTCTGCTTGTGTGCACGTGTAGGAGCAGATGTTCGGATGGGGTGTGGGCAGGACAGTCCTTTACACGCTGCAGTTGGATGTGAAGGAGCAAACATTGTGGACCTTTTGCTGGACTTTGGGGCTGATGGGTGTTGTAGGAATGCAGAGGGAAAAACTCCGCTGGATCTGTCAACACCAAACAGCGCAGTGAGAGCTGCACTGCAGAAAAGGGGTGTGTTGTAAAGTATGAAAGCTCTTGTATCCATGTTACAGAAACAACCAAACACAGATTTATTAGTTGTGACAACTTTGCCCTGTCTCCGCTGCCCAGGTCCCTGCTCTCTGTCACAGCTGTGTCGGTTCTGTATTCGCCGAAGTCTGGGAAGGAATCGTCTCCACAGGACGTCCAGCCTTTTCCTTCCTCACAGTATCCAAGACTTCCTCCTGTACCAGTGAGACACATCCAACCTGCTTGTGAGGCTCTCTGTGTGCAACGTACACTAATTTGTCCTTCACATTTTGCTTTGTGATTGACCTATGAGGCAAAACATGTCAGAGGGCAAAGACATTCACATTCAGAGAATGATGGAGTTTTGTCAGGCTTATGTATTTTATAATACGGTTCCTTTTAATAATATAAACACCATTTACGTATTATTCAAATGAAATATTTTGGATACAAGTGTTCAGAAGTTCAGAGATGCATTGTATACATATTGTAATGACTGTATCAGGTTTTGTATTTTTATACTTTTAATGAAGAGCTTTCCATTTGATGTCCTCGGATTTTGCTTTATTCCAACTTGTTTTTAAAGGGAGATTCCAATGATTTTACACATCAATATCACAGGCGTTGGGGAGTACTACTGCATATGTGAAAACAGGTGTATGAAGTCTTTGCCTCTAGAGGGAGCTGTGTAAAATCTGACAGTATTATAGGATGCTAGATGCAATGCTAGATCTATGGAGTGCTCTTTTATGATGACACTGATACTGTAATGTTGGATCTGTAGGTCAAAAAAAGACAATGGGATGCTGTGGATCAATATTAAAATGATGAAGGCAAGAAGAGGTATGTGACGTGTTTTAAGTTGCTGGATTTACAGAATAGGTATAAAAGAAACAGGCTTTGTTTGGAATATGTCAGTGTTAATGCACAGGATATGAATAAGAACTGAGGGATTTACATGACAGTGGTTTTGGGATGATCAGCAAATGAAAATCATGATTGTCACACACATTGTAAAGTGTCAAATCTATGTTTTATTACAACTGTCTCTTGTTTCTTGATGCATTGCTTTAGCCTGGTCGGACTGGAATAAACTGCTTTACTCTCAGAAGTACTCAATGTGTAAATCCCAACTTTTGGAGCATATTGCCACAACCTTTCAAACATAAATGAGTCATAACATTCTGTAATCTGTTAGTGTCGTACTAAAGGAAAATACCCTCTACAGCAAACTGAATAAACTTATGTCAGTTTACATAAAGACATAATGTTGGTGTTCTGTCATAGCAACAGTTGCAGACATTGGACTGTCTTGACTTACACAGTGGTAATGGAGCATGTGGCAGTAATGAACTTGCTGATGAATTTATTTACTTTCAACTCACAACTTAAATGTTTTGTGTGAAATGCTCAGTATTAAATTATGTGGTGATTAGTGTTAGTGTTAGTTCGTTAGTGCTTTGAGAACTGTGTTTCAGAAAATGCTCTTTGGCAATTGAGAAAAACAGTAAGGAATGAAGATGTTTTTCAAGAAAACATCGAGCACACTGGATTTGTCGGTGTTGTTCAAGGGGAATTAATATATCCCGTATTCAAATGCCACCCTGAAAGGTCACCTCTGCGGAGTCCCGAAAAATCTCATTTGAGCTGATTTAACTTGACGTTTCTTTACCAAAACAACAAAGAAAAGCCTCAGCTATCAGCATAAGTCCTGAAAGAGGGAAAAAACGAGGGATATATGCTGTGATCTGCATGCATGTGTGTGTAGATTTTGTGGTGAATGCTGTAGCTGTGAGACAATAATACCACTTAGAAGAAAATCCATATTTATAGCTACACAATGACTTTTGAGTTTGTTGCACACAGAGGACACATTAAATTAAAGAACTTGGATGTTGACATTTTCTGTGAGGCCACTGCTCACAGTGGGGGGGGCGGGTTACATACAAAGAGAACGTCGTAAGACTCAGTGCAGTTTTATGCTTCCAAGAATATAATTTCATAGCTCAGCTTCAAGCTCCAATCAGTTGATCTGCTCCATGGGAAAAGGTCAGTAGAGTGAAGGACTCTGCTGTGTATTTGACAGACTCTCCTGTGTGATAAAAGTTATTTCAGATAAAAGTTTTATTTACTTTTAACAGGTGAGAGTTCATAACCACAAAAGCAGATACACATATTAAAGATGAGTAAAGATGATATAAAACAGCAACAAATTTACTTCACAGTTCTGTCATTTGCACGTGACTAACGGTATTGTCATAACTCATGACTACACTGTTAAACTGCATATCACCAATATGTTACAAGCGCTGGAACAATCTGTAGATTAATTTGTCAATTAAAATTAATTGTCACTATGTTTAATTATCTGTCAAGGAACAAGAGTCCACAGGCATGCTGGCAGTTCAGTGAAGCTGAAAGGCACCATGGTGCTTCAAGCTAAATGCTAATGTCAGCATGCTAACAGACATTCAGTGTCTTTACATGAACTGGTACAGAACTGGTCTATCTTAGAAACCAGGTTACTCAGAGAGACCAGGTTACGTGGGTCCATTTTAAATCTTAATTTTGCATGATAAGAAGCTAAAATATGCCAATTAGCAATTAGCACAAAGTATACAAAGGTAAATGGGAACACAATTTTAAAAGAATTTAGTTTTAAACCCCAAGCACTGGAAAAATTCTGAACTTGAATTTATGGTGATGAATTATTAAGATCCATCCGGGCGGGACCTTGAACGTCTGTGCACATTCTCATGGCAATCCATCCAAAAATTGTTGAGATATTTCACTCCAAAGTGGTGGTCAGGCCGACATACAGCCACACTGCTATCAATGCTAAATATTCACAGTTTCCTGCTTTCAAAAAAAACAGAAAACAGCAGAATTTGCTTCTTTGCTTTTATCTGTTTATCTCTGTGGCCCAGAGTACACTTACACATCACTGAGAAGTTAAACCATAGTTGGTCTGCAAAAACAAGAGTTTCAGGTGTTGTTAAGTTTCTCCTTAGACATGTTATTAAGAATTAACAAATAGTGTTCATACATTATAGCCTATAGAAGCAGAGCCACCAACAAGCACCATAATATTTAACAGGAACATCTGTATGTACACAATTTGTAACATTTGGCAGTTCTTTTAATAACTTAGCATTTGACAAATATATTACCAAACTTATATAAAACTCTTCCAGTGCACACAATAGCAGACTATTCTCAGTTTGAATATTTTACAACCACTGAACCCTAAAATGTCATAGGAGCTTTCTGCTCTATCTCCATCATCACTTATCTTTTTTTAATAATGGCACACTGCAGATTAAAATAACACATGCACAATAAAGCTGATATCTAGCTTTTTCATGAATGGTTTCTGCCGCAAATGACAGTTTAAAAAATGTAATTTTCTTTTTTAGCCATTTACAGCCATAAGTGATACATGATCATACTCAGTTTGATTTTACATCTAAAAGGCGTCGGGTTTTACACCAAAACAGATTTAAAATACATTTAAATTTCTTATATCACATTTATTTGACAGGGAACATGTACAACAAAGATCCATCTCAACTGTACCAGTGTTTTAATGAGAAGCAACTTCCCTCTGTCGTGATTAAATTTGTCTTTCAACCAGTAGTTTTGTTTTAAAGCAGAGATGAAATGTTTCTCACAGAACCCTTAAGTCTTACTGCATCACTCTTTGTTTTATGTGGGAAAACAAATGAATGAGAAGTGATGATTAAAATTAGTAAGACATAATTCAGGAATGGAATGGCTTGACAATGAGGACATTTGGTTTTAACTGTGTCCATACATTATACTGAAGTTGACACCTCTACATCAGAGTTAAACATGTTGTCCACTGAAATCGATCTGAGAAAAGAGGATCAACATGAAACCAGTCCTGCTGAAGCACAGATGTTACAAGTTTATGAAAACAACAGATGATTTCAGACGGTGGTTATGTTTGTTCTCCCACTATTCTGGCTGTTCAACCGTCTGGGAGAAGTGCAGCATAGCTGCTTGTTGAAGTGCTTGCTGAAGCTTTTGCTCATCAAGTAAAGGGCAAACGGGTTCACGCAAGAGTTGGTGAAGGCCAAGATGCGAGCACACACACTGGCGATGAAGTGGCCCAGCGACGTGTCCACCTGGTCGTAGTGGTAGGAGCGGTACAGGTAGATCACGTGACTAGGCAGCCAGCAGACAGCAAACAAGCCGACAAACACCAGCACTGTTTTTGCCAGACGCTTCCTGGACTTGATCTGACAGGAGAGAGAGAAGAAATCAGTTTCTACACACACAACTGTGCAATAATGTCAAGTACACGAGTATGCGTGGTATGAACTATATAAACTGAAGACATTCACATCAGCCTCTGCTAATCGAGAACAGCTGTTAAATAGCCCTTGAGGTGATGTTATTTAGTCAGCTGCTGTTTCCGAGGTCACAAATTTTGAACCTCAACAGGGTTTTCTTTCTGCTCCCCTGTTAATCATCTCTCGACCCTTGAGATTTGTCTTGTGACCCCTGGTGTGGCCCTGACCCTCATGTTGGGAAACACTGCTATATGTATGGGGATATGAATACATATGTAAGGGTGTCAGCACTTTTAGGTTTTCTTATTTCCTAAGAGGGAGGAGTCCACACAGAGACCTGTTTCTGGAGGTGCAGGTGTCCCTCAGCCGGGATGTCCGCAGAGCTCCTGACCAGACTGCGGGCGATGAAGCAGTAGTAGACAGATATGATGAAGAGCGGGATGAGGTAGAAGATGAGGAAGGAGGCAGTGGAGTGGATCTTCGGGTGCAGCTCCCCGGCGTGAGGGTAGGGCGCGCAGGTCACAAATGTCTCATTGGTGTGGCTGGTGGTGAAAGTGTGCAGGTCGGAGAAGACAGCTTCAGGAATCGCCAGGGTCACAGACAGCAGCCAGATCGCCCCCGCTCGTAAACAGATGCTGAGTGTTGCCCTGGACCTGTGCATGTCCAGCGGTTTGACGATGGCTTTGTACCTAAAAGAAGAAAAGCAACTAGTGGAATAATATTTTTTCTTTCTTTCTGTGGAGAGACTGCTGATATCAATATGAATTCTGATTACCTCATTGAAGTTTCTTAATTATGCATCTAATCTACAACTGCAGACAGATTATTTACTCTCTCATACTGATTCTCTCTGCCAGAGGCTCAGCTTCTCTTTTTAATCAAAGAAAGATAATCTCATAGATGTTATCTTGCTGTTGATTACAGAGGGGACAAATTTCAATTGGGCTTTTAATTAAAGGAAACAGGAATCAGAATAAACAGCCACAGTAGATAATATTAGCTCCTGGACAGGATGAGTTACAGATTAACAGGATGGTTTGTTCATCACAGCTGGTATTAAATGTTTTGTTGCTTCCAGAAAGCTACTAAACTAAGAAGTGTTGGCTGCTCCCGAAACATTTCCAGCACAAGAATCTGTTCAAACACTGGAGTTCTGCACTTCAATTAAATCATCTTTCCATATTTGATGTCAGGAGCTCCCAACCTTATCGTGACTCCTGAAAAACAAACAATATTTTTGTGAACAAAGAGAGAGTCCCTGCGCCCATATGAAACATTTTCATAGGTAAAATAATTTTTGTAATTTAAATGAAATAAGCGAAGGTTAGATGAATGTGATATTAATCATAATTTGATTTAAAATCTATTTTCTGCTCTCTTATTCCAATAACCATTGTGAGTCTGGGGGTGGGGGGGTGGGATGGGGGGATTTACCCCCAGGTAACCCACAGCAACTCAAAATCTCATGACATTACACTAACCTATACTATTTGTTTGGGAAACTATTTGTCCAGTGTCATTCTAATCACAATAGTTATATAACAATTTAAGCCAGAGTTTGGTCTGTGAGGACACGCACTTTTAAACCAACAGAGCTTTATTTAAAGTTATAGAAGAACTTGTCCTTGCTGTCGTTCAGGTGAGATTAATGGTTTAACTGTCGGCCCAGCAGCATCCCATCCACTGTTTAAGTGAAGCTCATACCCACACAAACAAT